GCAAAGTCTGGACCTTGAGAGGTGAAATCCTGCCAACTTTTCCATGTAGGACTACTCCCCACATCTGCGTATTGCCCTTGCCCCTGACTTACCTTTGGTTAGTTGGGAATGGAAGAACGGTAGTAATAGTAGCTATAATTGTACCCCATTCCTCCATTCCCTACTAACCAAAGGTAAGCTGAATTACGTTTTGGGAGAATCGGGTGTCTGACAGGCCGCACGCCCTGTCGAGAGCTTGGGTTGTCATGTTTTCATAGGAGGCCAAAAGGGGTTTTAGCCTATGGGGGTTTAGTAGGGATTAGGGTTCCAATAATAGGGTTCATATTAAGGAATCCCTACCCCAAGACTCTTAAACCCCCCTGTTGGCCTCCCATCATGTTTTGGTTCCATTGTACCTCCGCGCGCTGCTCGCAAAATTTCTCGCTCGAGCCTCTGTGGCCGATTCGTGTCCGGCAAGATCATAAGAGGAGGAGTTTCGCATTAATGCTTAGGGTATTGGGACCCGGCTTCACTTGTGCTTGTTGGAGTGGGTAGTTCGACATTTTTCCATGCAGATCCCGCATTGGCTATTGAAAAGCTCCGATCCCGTCATGCTTGAACTTTGAGGCCTTACGACTATGTAGTTAAGAAGCCCTTATAGAACCCGAATACCCGAAACACTACAGTGCCCTGAAAGGAACGCTTGAAGGAGCCGGTTAAGGAGCTCCTGTAGCCCCGACCCCCGCAAAATAGCAGGTTATGGAGATTTTTTATCGGTTATAACATCGGAAGCAGTTGGTTTTTGGATCCCAGGGTTTGAGAGGTGGAGATTTGCAAACCCGAAACCCTGTAAACCCCAAAGCCTAGATCCTGAAACCCTAAAGATTATGATTCGAAGAATTGCAGGGCAGTAAGTGGACCAATGCCCGTCAGCTGCGACAAGGCCTCGACCTCTGTGCCTGCACTCCCCCTTTGGGCTTTTGTTCAGGAGCGAAGTTTAAGTTTCCATTACAGGCTTCAGGAAGTTGTTACTAGAAGTTATAATAAGACGTCTTGGGGTTTCACCGTTTGGGGATGTAAATTACCACAACAAGACGTCATATTGTTTCATTTACTTAAAAGTTGCGTCCCAGTAGGGTAGCTTGAGCTAAACTCGTTAACAAGAGCCCAGTTGCCAGGTGACCAGTGACCTGTGGGTCTGACATGATGCGTATGCCAAGCCCGGCACTCTAAGAACATCTCGGGATCTTCAGCTAAGTATCGATTCGGGATGATTATTGTTTTAGCTTATTGCGGAGCCTTGGCTACGTATACTTTTGGGATGTTGAAATCGACACCTATATTGCCCAGGAATCTAAACACTGGCCTCTAATTTGTGGGGTCGAGGCTTTGTGAAATCGTCTGCCTGGGCCCAGTCGCATAGTCTCCACATGGGCCCAACTGGCATGTCAGAGCACTCAAGACTCAAAGGGGCTAAGGAGGCACCCTTAAGCGGGGACCCCTACCCTATAATGGGCTATATAATGGGTATATAATAGCTATATTAAGGGTATATACCTAGGGGTCCTTATTAAGGGACCCTCCTTTTACCCTTGGAAAGACATGTTGGTCGGAGGGGGCGGGGGGAAAATTGCAAAGCGCAACCTAGGGTTTTTGACCAAAACAGCGGTGTTCGCCCGATCAAACCAACTTTCCACTGTCAAAATCTCTGGTTGTTTGTCGGGCTTGGAAGCGAAAATCTATTTCTAGGGAGTGGGTGGAGGGGGCCACTGGATTAAGGGGAAAGAGGTTCCCTAAGAGGGAGAGGGAACCTCTGACCGCTTCGGCAAATGCTGAGGCGAATTAAAGTTGTTCCCAAGAAACCGGTCGGCCCTTTCGACTCTTTGTCAAACGTATGAAGCTTCTTTAGGGTTTGGTTTCACGTCGTGGATGGCCACCTTGCAGCTGCCCTGGATTCGAAGGTCGCTGAGCAGGCTGCAATTTCAAATATATTGGGGTGCAGACTCTCTTTGTGCCCCAAACCCTAAACACCAGGTGCAGATTCTCTTTGTGCCCTAAATCCCCAAACCCTAAGCCCTAAATCAAGGTACAGACTCTCTTCGTGCCCTTAACCCTAAACCCTACACGGGAGTTTCCGAAAACTAGGGGTGCCTTATTCTTGGGGTCCTTATGGACAAGGATCCTACTATTTAGGATATTAGTTTAGGGTACTCTAAATAGTAGGATCCTTGTTTTCAGGACCTCAAAATACGGTACCCCTAATTTTTACGGAAACTCACTTTATCGAGGTGCAGACTCTCTTTGTGCCCCAAACCCTAAACCCTAAACCATATATCGAGGTGCAGACCATCTTTCTGCCGCACGACCAGAGCGGGTCAAGAACCGTGGTTTACGAACTTTGCCACGACACTGCAAGGCCGAACTGGGGAACTGGTAGGGTTTCGGGTTCCCTCAGTATTGGTATTATTATTGTTATTACCATTATTTTTATTGTTAGTTATTCCTATTGTTAATACTACTATTATTAGTCGTATTTATTATTACTATTATTATTACTATTGTTACTATCATTATTAGTCGTATTTATTACTGTTATATATATATATAAATTTTTGATTGTTATTATTAAGACCGAGTAGGTGGAAAAAGGGTGCCTTTCTTATTAAGGGGCAACTGGGGGACCTAGGGAAGGGTGGGAGTCTAAACGGAAGCCGATGTTTTCCTCTCCCGACTACATTTATACCCATAACTCGCAAACTCCATTGAACCCCCGAGATCCAAGTTCGTGACCTCCCAAGCCCAGTGCTCAATTCAAAGGAGGGGTTAGGTCCTCAGGGTTTTTAGGGCTTGGGTGTCTTTTGGTTTGAGCATTCTGGGTTTAGTGTTTCATTGTGGTTTCTGAAGTTGAGGCAGTTGAGGAAAACCGACTTAAGCAAGACAGCCGTAAGCCCGCAACCTCAAGATCGAGACACGTATGCCCGGACACCACGAGCTCGAAACTCTGACTCTGAAAGCTTCCTTCCCAAGTTCTACAAGCAGAACAACAACATCATCACCTCATCGAATTTCGCTTCCGCATCAGAATCTGCAGTATATGCATCAGCACCATCATCGACCCGATCAGCATCACAATGACCATCGCTACCACCATAACCGTCATCGGTGCCATACATCACGTTTACCATCTTCATCACACAAATATAGGGCTAAATAAGTACGAATACTATTTTCAGGGTTCCTTATTATGAAAGTATAATACCACCAAACCCAATTCTAATCATTCAGGCCCCTATATTACATCCGTATAATAGTCCCTATGGTATCCCTTCAAGAACCCTTTTAACGAGACCATATTCTATTCTTTAAGGCATTACGCCTCATGGCATCGTTGGCTTCGGTTGGGGGATTGGGAGGCAGGCTTCAAGGGTGATTATAGGATCCTTAAGGGAGGGTGGTTCAACGGGGGAGGGTACAAGGAATCCTTGGGGGAACCTTAGGGTGTACTAGGGAGAGTTAGGGATCACTAGGCTATATACCCCCTTGGAGCCCCCTCCCTTAAGGATACTATAAAAGGGTGAGCTATGACTACTTGGGTTTACGTTCCTTTAAGGGCTGGATATGGGTCACTATAACGGTACTATAGGGGTTCAGGGTGTAGGGTTTAGGGTTTACTTGGAGGTTCATGGGTAGTTATAAGTAGGGTTAGAAGTATATACATCCCCATATTCGGGGACGTAGAACTACTCTGACTACTGGGCCTACTTGAACCCGTTTTCTTAAAATTTAAAAGGAGCCAGTATGAAATGCAAGTTTTTACTTTTTTCTCACTGGTTAGTTAAAAGCCCAAACTAGGTCGAGGTCCCGGCATCCAGGTAATGGCGACCCTGTTAGATAAGCTCAAGGCTTCTTGTTTTGGGGGGGGGTTTCCGAAACTTCGGGGTTCGTTGTTTTGGGGTCCTCATAATCAGGATCTAGGGTACTACGGTTGATGATATAAATCCTGCATGACCCATAATAAGGAATATACCATAATTCCCATGTATTCCTTATTATGGGTAATGCAGGATTTATATCATCAACCGTATATTAGGGTCCCCTATTTTCGGAAACCCCCAGTTCGAATTATGGATAAGCTCAAGGCTGCTATTTTTGGGGGGGTTTCTGAAAATTAGGGGTTCTTTATTTTGGGGGTCCTTGTAATAAGGATCCTTTAGAAGCTGCCCCCACCCTGTAATAGTGGTATAATGGGAATATAATAGGGCCCTAATATAATCCTATATAATCCTTATAGTCACTATTACAGGGTGGGGGCAGCTCCTAAAGGATCCTGCTATTTAGGGTCCAATATTGGGGTCCCCAATTTTCGGAAACCCTCATATGGTCCTTACTGTCAAAGGAGGAGCCAACCTCGGTGTTGCGCAGACATTCGGGCTCAGCCTCGGTTGACTTGCAGAATGTGCGGTCTTCACAATGTGGGGGTTTCCGAAAACAGGGGACCCTAATATAGTACCCTAAATAGTAGGATCCTTAGTATTAGGACCCCCAAAATAGGGTACCTAAATTTTCGGAAACTCCCATGTTAAGATGAGAAGAAGCGCTGCGAATGTAGTACCGTAGGAATCGGGTCGGAGCTTCAGGCAATGAAGAGGATCAGCACCGCACGCATCCATGTCGACCCGAAGCAGCAATGCTCTTGTGGGTAGGGTGCTGGTATGCAGGTGCTTCCGCACACGGCCAAGTGTTACTTCAACCCTTTCACCACACGCCAGTCGTCGATGTCGACCGGCGGCTACTTTCAGCATCAATTCGCAGCAGCATCGTAAAGAAGTATTGTGCTTTGTTTTGTGTGCTCCATATAGACCCTACCCAAAATCCCGAACTTTAGACCGCACAACCCTGACCCTAAAGGGCTTCAAAAGCCCAAAACCTAAACCCTAAACCGACCTATTTGCAGGTGGAAAAAGGCCCATAAAAATAAGCGGCACACACAACAAACAAAATCTGCCTATCGCTGAAGAGCCATGTCGCGATCATGGTTCCCCAGTGCATACATTCATCTGCTTGTGGTCGAGCTGGCTCCGCTGTACGTGATGCTTTCTGGCTTAACTCAAGTCAAAGGGCTCTAAGGGTTCGATGAAGGTAAGATTTTCGAGTAATGTAGGGGCCTAAATAATTACCTATACTATTTTGGGGGTTCCTTATTATAAGTATAGTACAATGGGCCCCCAAACCCTATTCTAATTATTAAGGCCTCTATATTAGTTGTTTGAGGGATAGTGGTTTTGGGGGCTTGGTTTAGGTGTTTGGGGCTTTGCGGGTTTGGGGTTCAGGAGTTTTAGTCAAAGGGGAAAAGGAGGGACCCTTAGTGGGGACCCCTACCCTATAATGGGCTATATAATGGGTATATCATGGCTATATTAAGGGTATATACCCAGGGGTCCTTATTAAGGGTCCCTCCTTTTACCCTTGGATTTAGGGTTCGCCGAGGGGCCCATGGAGTTTATATAGGTCCAGCAGTAGTACCCAAGGCCCTTTCTCTTGGAGTTTCCCTACTTGGAGGCCCTTTTGACTTAGTAAGTAGGGTTAGTAAGGTGGGTTATGGGGATTATAATAGGGTTTCTAGGGGATACTAAGTAGACTTACTAAGTCAACAGGGCCTCCAAGTAGGCCTTCTTAAATCTGAAGGATACCCAGAGAGCCCAATACCCCTTAATTGGGGGATATAGCCTGAATCATAATATGAAGCCCCTAATGATTTAAGGTATATTCCTTAACTAAGAGGTATTGGGCTCTCATATAGCTTAAATCATAATATGAAGTCCCTAATGAATTAAGGAATATTCCTTAATTAAGGGGTGTTGGGCTCTCTGGGTACTGGCCTTCAGATCGGATCTAGGGTTTTGGACTTCAGTTAACCCAGAGACTCCAATATCCCTTAATTAAGGAATATTTCTTAAATCATATAGGGGATCCTACTAGAATTTTAAGGCATATTCCTTGATTCTGGGGTTTTCGGGTCTCTGGCATTGGCATCTTTGAGGTGCTAAACGCATGTCTCTTTCTGTGTTTAGGGTTTAGGGCATAGGGTTTGAGGTTTAGGGGGAAGGTCGGATTCAGCATCCGTTTCAGCAGTACTCTTCTTTTCGATGTCCACACCCTACCTTCATCCCACTTTAGGCGTCCTGCGCTCAGCAGGGATGTCAAGCTTTCTCGTTTCCGATCAACATGTTCGAAAACCTTCCGAAATGCCTCCACCAGCTGGGTAGCAGATAGATGATGGCGAGACGGCAGGCAGTAATGGTAGTGCTAGACCCCAAACTGGAAATCCCAAACCTAAACCTGAAGCCCTAAACTAAGCCCTTACCTAACCATTGATATTGGAGGAGCTAAGGAGCCAGGGATGATGATAATCCTTATTAATTAAGGAGCTAAAGAGCCATGGAACCCCCAAAGCCACTGGTTAGTTACTGTCAACACTACTTGATGCTCCATGCGCCAAATCACCAGCTTGCTCCGATCTGCCGCTTGTATTATTCGCGATGACCATACTGCACGCATGCATCCATGTAAGTATGATGTTAAGTGTGTACGTATGCATGCGTGGATGCATGTATGTAGGCATGTAAGTATATAAGATCGTCAGTATGCAAGTATGTAAGTATGGTGTAGGTTTCTATGTAAGTGTTTGTGTGTTTATGTATGAACACATGTATGTAGGTATCTATGCATGCTTATATGTAAGTATGTATGTACTGTAAGTATTAATTAAGTTTACATAGCCCCAAGTCCGAGATGCTAAACCCTAGGCTCTGAACACCATAAACCTTAATTTAAGCACCTGAGCGTTGAACCCTGAAACCCCCAAAGCCGTAAACTCCAGAAGATAAGTCGTCTGAACAACTTGGTAGCAATACGTCCTTGCAGTCCAAGTTCATTGTGCTTGTATTATAGTATCTTTGAAGACCGTCGTGTAATCGTTCCCGTTCAACACCCGACACCTGTACCAAAGTGTCACAGAGCCCTAGTGCTTTCCGGAGTCCTTCTACATGAGTCAAAGCAAACCGTTTAACATCCTTTTCAGGAGCCTAATAAAACCAGCAAAGCCGTGTGGAGCCAGAAAACCCTAAGATTCCAAATCCCAAACCCTAAACCCCTAAACCCTAAACCCCCACACTAAAACCGTCGGACCCGAGCCGCAAGCAATGGAGGATTGCGAGTATGTACAGCGCCATCAAGGAGTGTTTCTCGGGTTCAGGGTTTGGGATTTCAACCGAATTTAGAGTGTTCGGCTTAGGGATGCAAGGGATTTTATGGGTTTGGAATTGGGAGTTTCCGAAAATTCGGGGGACCTTATTTGGGGGTCTTGATAATAAGGATCCTACTATTTAGGGTACTAAAGGGGTTGAGGCCCTACTTGGAAGGGCAGGGGACTTAGTAAGTAGGTTATAAATAGAGTTATAAGTACCCTAAATGGAGTTACCCTAATTATAACCCTACTTACAACCTACTTACTAAGTCCCCTGCCCTTCCAAGTAGCCCTGCGGATCCGAGTTTTGTTTCAGGTTCAATGTTCAGGGTGTACTTGGAGGGTCGGGGGACTTAGTCAGTAGGTAGTAAGTAGACTTATAAGTACCCTGAAAGGGACCCTATTTGGGGTTATGGTATTTATAAGTCCCTAAAATGACCAGTTACTAAGTCCCCCGACCCTCCAAGTACGGTTCAAGATGACCCTGTGCCAAACTACAGCATCCTCCTATGGCTGCCTGGTGAAAAATTCGAGGCACGCTTTAGTGTTTAGGGCTTACTGGTTTCGGGTTTGGGGTTTAGCGTCTTCTGTTAAGGGTTTCGGGGTGTAGGGTTTAGGTCACAGTCTGAATCTTAAACACCTTAAACTTGACAGCCGTCAACGAAGACCTGAGCAAAGACCCCGCAGCGAAGCCGTAAACCTCCAAACCGAAGGACCCCAGACCCCTGCTAGTCAAATCCTCTCCCTTATCCGATTGATTAGTTAATCAGGGGTGTAGATACAGCCCAAGCCCCAAACCCGCTAGATCCGCGACCGGTAGTGACATAAACCTTCTGTTGGTCTCCCATCACTTAAACCCGAAAACCCCGGCAAGTGAAAGGAACCCCGTGAAGTATAGCCCCTTAAAGGAGCCCTCGAAGGATCCCGTAGAAACCCCGAAAGCTCTCCACGGCGAGGAGCGTGGGGCCGCGAAGTTTTACACCTGGATCCGGAACCACCGGTCGGGCCTCTTCGCGGAGCAACTTGCCAGTTTGGGTTTAGGGTTTCGGGGTTTAGGATTTAGGGTTTAGGCTTGTTTAAGGCTGCCATAAGGGTTCTATAAGGATACTATCAGGGCACTATAAGGGACCTAGGCAACTTGCCGCATCGTTTCGGCTGTGGCCTTCCGGGGCTTACAGTTTAGACTGCAGTGTCGGGATCAGGCTGAAGGGTTCCGGGTTTGGGGAAAGCCCAAACTCCAACATAAAGGTCTGAAGACTTCGTACAAAATCCTTCGCTGCTCCCTGTAGGTTTAGACTACGCAAACACATCCCGAAGCCCACTTTTTAGTGTTCAATTACCCATATGAAGCCCTCAACTCCAAACCCTGCTCGAAGCTCCCACCCTGCCCTAAAAAGAAGACTATGCGTTGGACTCCCGGTGGCGTCCGTGGACCCGAAGCACATGAACCAGCCTAAAGGTTTTGCCGCAACCTTTATGCTTAAACCCCTGAAGAAACTCAATATTTGAAACCCACAACCCGCAAGCCTAGACGATTCAATCCTAGGCTTCTGTGCATTTGGGATCCCAGAAACGGTGAATGCAACCAAGAAGCCTTCAAAGCCACCGACTCCAGCCAAACAGTCCCTAACTGAAGCCCGGATAACATTAGGTTTGGCAGGGAGGTTCTATGCCTTGATGTTCTTGTTCATATTTGATGGATCAACGATGGAATGCAGATCCTAAGCCCTAAACGCCAAAACCCTAATCCCCAAACCAGAAGCCAAAGCATCCCAAGGCTGGACCATCTCGGCGATTTCGCCGTAAAAGATGCTTGGACGAAAATATAGGTCGAATTACAAGCAGGCCTGCGTACCCAGGTCTAGTGCCAGAAGAGGCAACCTTCAATCTTTCTGGCTGTATACAGCCCCAATGAATATATAGGCCTCAATGATTGTCTAAACAATTTGGGGTTCCTTTTTCTAAGTATAATATGATGGGCCCCAGAACCTTATTCTAATTATATGTTAAGGCCCCTATATCATAGATCCTTATGATAGATCCCTTATAGAGCCCTTTAAAGGACCCTTAAAGGAACCTTACTCTAATTATATGTTAAGGCCCCTATATCACACTACTTAGATCGCTGTCCTACAGGGTTGGATACGCTCGGCAACGCGAGTATGTCATTCTGTATGCAAAACCAACGAACAACCCTAAACCCTAAACCCTAAACCCTAAACACAAATCTACAGGCCAAAAAAGGCGCTCCCGCTTGGCCAGTAAACTCATAGGGATCCTTAGGGGTGTAGGGGGGAGGGGTGTAGGGGACTATATTTCCTTAAATAGGCCTTATTAGTCCTTATTATGGGCCTTAAGGCCCCCTACCCCCCCTCCCCCTGCACCCCTAAGGATCCCTATGATAAACCAAGGACTGCGGCAAAGCAGCTTTCGAGAGGATGATCTGGACTGGTATGCTGAAGTTTGAGTGCGGGGACAAGAGTGACTTAGTAGCTGAGTAGGCCTCCTTTAACCTTTTGGGTTCACATAATCCTACCACAATTGAAAAGGTTAACCCTTTTTTGGGCTAGGGTATCCAGCCCCTAAGGTGATGGCACCTTTGTGGAGCATACTGTCTTCGTGCCGCCCGCCTCGAGGGTTTAGGGGTTTAGGGGTTTAGAGTTTAGAGGTTCAGGTTTAGGGTTCAGGGGTTTAGGGCTCAGGGTTGCGCAACGGGTTACTAGATGGAATGCTAGAAGCATTACTAGAAGGATAAGTGTTCTAGACCCATCTTTATCGCGTTTGAACGCAATCATTACTATAAGGATGAGTGTTCTAGACGCATTTCAGTGTAAACCCTCAACTCATTAAATTTAAGCCGAGCCATCAAAGCCTGCCAAGTAAGGCTGGTGGAAGCGTAAGCAGACACCAATGCGGCCCTCAAAAAAGCAAGAAAAACTAAGCCGGCCGACCAGGTCACCCTTTGAGGGGAACTTCAGGTCATGGGCGCTGGCGCGTGCCGTCTGTTTGCTCGACTGGTGGGGCGGCGGGGGGGTCAGGGTTCGGGTTTCGGGTTTTTGGTGATGTCGACCCTGGTTCATGAACCTCCGTAATTTCATAAGGGTTACGGCTATGCCAGCATAGACCCTTATAGGAACCACTTCCCTACATACGATTTAGGGGTTTAGGGGTTTTAAGGTTTAGGGATGCCCCTGTGATATCTGACTCGTGGGCAGGTACGTATTCTTCATGTGTGCCGGCACCGTCGCATGTTGCATCTTTCTCTTGTGGCGCACTGGCGAACGCAGCTTTAACAGTGCCTGCTGCAAGCACCTAGCATGTTTTGGGGAACTTGCCATCTCTGCAACTCAACAAACATAACCCAGAAGCTCCTGGATCTTGACGTCAGACGACAAGCTCAAAGCGTGCTGGCGTTGAAAGCCAGACGTGTTTAGGTTGATGTCGTTGGTTTGGCAGTTTCGCTCTCGGGTTTCACTGCCCTTGAGCTTCACCCATCGGAACCTGATTAAGACATCGTGGGTCCGCAGTAGGGTTCTGCATCATATGGGAGTTTCCGAAAATAGGGGACCCTAATATAATAGTACGCTAAATAGTAGGATCCTTATTATAAGGACCCCAAAATAAGGTAACCCCCAATTTTCGGAAACTCCCATATAAATCCTAACAGGCCGGGCTGGGGAGCTGGGGTGGGCGTCTCGGACCGGAATTTCTCAACCAGGCTTCTACATGCGGTAATCTAGTTTAACTTGGCGTTCTTCTGGTTGGCTCTTTGGACTTTAACTTTTGGGGTTTCTATACGAACCTTAATAAGGAGGCTAACAGTTTAACTTTTAGGAGGGGTTCAGAAGACAGCCAAGTTAAGTTACCATAAGAAGGCTACCCTTGTATTTGCTGTAGATCCCGATCTCCATTATGTAGTTGAAATTGAGAGCTCCTGTTGTAACAAACAAGAACCCAGAGGTTTGAATCTCGTTCTGCTACAAGCATAGGCTTCCATGTTGATTATGGTTTTGGTGTGACAGGTGGGGTTTCAGATTGGGAATAGGAGCTATTGTGTCGTAAGAGCTAGGAGATACAGTCGCCAGCTATACTGAATTGGTATTATCATTACGGCTTTCATTACAATGAGATCGTATAGTTATTATGTATATCTTATGGTTCATTCTATGACTATCGACATAACTAGCAACTAGTAACTGCTACTACTACTACTACTACTACTACTACTACTACTACTACTACTACTACTACTACTACTACTGCTATCGCTACTGCTATCGCTACTGCTATCGCTACTGCTACTGCTACTGCTACTGCTACTGCTACTGCTACTGCTACTACTACTACTACTACTACTACCACCATTGTTTATCTGACTATTGGCAGGGGATGCTGGGGAACCAAGAATTTGGTCGGGACCGAGTCAGTAGTTGTTTTAGAGAGTTTTCAGTGTCACGACCCCAATTCTCAAAGGGTAAAAGGAGGGACCCCTAATAAGGACCCCTAGGTATGTACCCATAATATAGCCATTATGTACCCATTATATAGCCCATTATAGGCTAGGGGTTAATGGGGTCCCTCCTTTTCCCCTTTGAAATTAGGATTCTAGACCCTACTTACTAAGTCCTCTGACCCTCCAAGAACTTCCAGGTGCCGGCTACGTGGCATTTACTTGGAATTTGGAGCAGAGCAAACGTTACCAGGCAGCTCTGTGGGGACCTGGCAGTAGTAGTAGTAGTAGTAGTAGTAGTAGTAGTAGTAGTAGTAGTAGTAGTAGTAGTAGTAGTAGTAGGAGTAGGAGTAGGAGTAGGAGTAGGAGTAGGAGTAGGAGTAGGAGTAGGAGTAGGAGTAGTAGTAGTAGTAGTAGTAGTAGTAGTAGTAGTAGTAGTTGTTGTAGTAGTTGTAGTAGTAGTAGTAGTAGTAGTAGTAGTAGTAGTAGTAGCAGTAGTAGTAGTAGTAGTAGGAGTAGTGAGTAGTAGTAGTCGTAGTAGTAGTAGTCGTCGTAGTAGTAGTAGTAGTAGTGGTAGTAGTAGTAGTAGTAGTAGTAGTAATAATAGTACTTGTAGTAGAGGCTGTCTCTGTCCCAGGGAGGCTTCAGCATTTAGGGCTATGCAAGGGGTTTAGGGTTGAAGGTTCAGCGTTGAGGCTTTGAGGCCATGCGTGAGCATGGTTTCAAGTATAGGCTCCATTGTAGTTCCTTTTTTGTGGTACCCCCAAACCTCAGAAAGGAGCTACTAAGGAGCCTATGGGTAAGTATAGTACACATTCTTGCCAAGGAAGAAAAATCAGGCAATGCTCAGCTTCAGCAGCATCGCTTGGAGCTGTTGTTTAAAGGTCCGCATCAAGGTAAATCAAAGGCCCACCATAGGATGTACTATAAGAGCCTGAATAATGACCTATACCTTTTTTTGTGCGGGGTGGGGGGTCCTTTACAAGTACATTTGTATGGTATAAGATACCCCCAAACCCTGTTCTAATTATTGAGGCCCCTATCTTAGTTTAGATTGCTGCCAGCCTCGATCCCCGAACAGTTGAAAGGGAAGCGCGAATACCACGACCACGACAGTCAGGAGACCAGGAGACACATGTAGGACCACGGCACTACTCTCTTCCCTTGATATACAAGCGGGTAGCTAGACCCCTTTCTACTGGCGGGATCCAGGACCACGGCGCATATGTTTCAGCCCATAAGCTGCTGGGATTAAGGAGGACCCACGCGTGGGGGGACATTTGTCCTGCGCGAGCTGCGTGGCTAGCCACTTCTCGTTACACAGTATTGGGTTCTAACGACGACACGATTTGGGGCAAAGTCAAATAGCACTTAAAGGAACCCGACACCCTGCGTTACAAAGCCCAGGGCCTTGAAGAGAAAAACTAGGTTACAATGTGATGGTTCTCTTGGCGGCGTCTGGGCCCATCATAAGTGGCATCTACATCCTCATCTTCGTCCTCTTCTTCACCGAGGCACTGGTGTCCTTGTCTTGATGCGGGGTCGTGAGTATCTGAAGCGGCGTTGGTAAGGTTTTGTGAGGGTTAGGGGGAGGTCTGAGGAGGTTTCAGGGCACGAATTCCATAGTCATACTTTAGAAGGGGCCCCCACCCTGTAATAGTGGTATAATGGGAATATAATAGGGCCCTAATATAATCCTTATAGTCACTATTACAGGGTGGGCCCAGCTTCTAAGTCATACTCTTGTGGATCCTTTCGTTTGTTTTCGGGCTCCCCTACCAAACTTGACCACTAGAAAAGGGAGTTCTTCTGTTTTTGCTTAGGCGGAACCAGGCAGGTTGCATAGTGAACAAGGCAGGTTGCTTAGTGAACAAGTAGGGCACTTGATGTTAGCCATCATCACCAGCATCAGCACCATCAAAATTGCATTCAGGAATACTGCTTAATAGTGGAATGGTCGTGGCGCGTAGCGATCATGAAACTATTAGACACAAAGAACGCAGCAGTGGTCCTGGCAGTGGTGAACATGGTAAGAAGAACTGTGAGCAATGACAACAGCAAGCAACGAAGAGTTTTTGGATTCAGTATCCGAGAGTTCGATCATCCTCCCTGAGCCCAAATCCTGCGTGACAAAGGAGGACTCTGCAGTTTAGAATTCAGGGTCTACCTGGACCCCAACAGTAAATAATAGCCTTTTATAGGTTTTGGGGCCATTATCTTGCATACTTTTGGAGGTCTAGGTAGGGTTCGTCGCTTACCCTAAACCCTAAACCCTAAACCCTAAACCCTAAACCTCAAATTGTTGGAGGCGTGTAGAAAATACCAGGAACACTGGAAGTTCTAAGTTGCTTGCGCTTTAATGACTCCCGTTGAAACCTACAGTAGAAGCCAGAAAGTTGGAACATGGCTTTAGGAGGATTAGTGCTAGGATCCCTTATACTTTACCTTAAGAGCATGAGGACAATGATGTTCCAACTTTCTGGCTTCTACTATAAGTCGAGTTTGGCTCTTGAATCCCTTCTCGAAAGTTCGTGTAACCATTAAAGGTACTCACATCCCCAATACCCAACCTTTAAACTTTTAGGGTTCTTCTATTTCAGTAGGTGTCTGAAAGTTTAGCCTTTCATTTCCCAGGATGCCCAGTAGTACCTTTATTCCCTTTTTGTAGTCCTGGGTTCCTTATTAAGTTACCCAACACCAAAAAGGGGAGCCCTTTTTATTCCTAGGTTACAGGGCATCCTAGTTTCAGTGGCTTATTGGGGGAGTAATGTAAGGCTCCGTTCTTTAAAAGCCCCCGCCAAACCCTAACCCCTAAACCCCCAAACCCCTAAACCCCTTTGGCTCTTGGGTCCCCTCTCGAAAGTTCGTGTAGCTGTTAACAGTATTGTGGCCCCCTTTCTTTCTGCAACCCGTTGGTCCCTCATATTGCTCAAACTACATCTGGGAGTTTCCGAAAATAGGGGGGGTACCTTATTTTGGGGTCCTTATAATAAGGATCCGACTATTTGGGTTACTATATTAGGTTTCCCTATCTTCGGAACCCCCCATCTAGTTCAACATGTAGCACCTCAACACTTTTGGGTTGTGAATGGCCCTAAAATCGGTTAAGGGTTTGGTTGGTTGGGGGTATTTGGAGGTTAATAGGTCGTTAGCAATAGGTAGGGGGATAGACAGTTTTAATCCATATTACTGGACTTCCCTAAACCTTAAAACCTAAACCCTAAAACATAACCCCACCTATGACTACCCATGAACCTCCGAGTACTATAGGGGCCTCCCTAACTACCTATACTCTTTTGGGGTTCCTTACTATAACTAGAATAAGGGGCCCCAAGCTTTATTCTAAATATGAAGGCCCCTACATCCTTAAATCCCTTAAAGTACCCTTACAGTATCCCTCAAAAGAACCCTTTTAAGGAATCCTTTCTAATTATTTAGGGCCCGTATATCGGAGTTTCCGAAAATAGGCGACCCTAAGATAGGACCCGAAATAATAGGATCCGCATTCTAGGGACCCCAAAATATGGTACCCCTAATTTTCGGAAACTCCTCTCCTAGGGCCCCTCGCCACAAACAGGAATGGTCGTGGCGCGTAGCGATCATGAAACTATTAGACACAAAGAATGCAGCAGTGGTCCTGGCAGTGGTGAACATGGTAAGAAGAACTGTGAGCAGTGACAACAGCAAGCAACGAAGAGTTTTTGGATTCAGTATCCGAGAGTTCGATCATCCTCCCTGAGCCCAAATCCTGCGTGACAAAGGAGGACTCTGCAGTTTAGAATTCAGGGTCTACCTGGACCCCAACAGTAAATAATAGCCTTTTATAGGTTTGGGGGCCATTATCTTGCATACTTTTGGAGGTCTAGGTAGGGTTCGTCGCTTGACCCTTAAACCTCAACTAGGACCTAGAGTAGGCCCTTATTCCCTTTTTTGGGGGGTTCAGGTTCCCTTCTAAGCCCCTTTAAACCAAAAAGGGCATCCTTTTTGTTCCTAGGTTACTCTTGGGTCTAGTCAAATTGTTGGAGGCGTGTAGAAAATACCAGGAACACTGGAAGTTCTAAGTTGCTTGCGCTTTAATGACTCCCGTTGAAACCTACAGTAGAAGCCAGAAAGTTGGAACATGGCTTTAGGAGGATTAGTGCTAGGATCCCTTATACTTTACCTCAAGAGCATGAGGACAATGATGTTCCAACTTTCTGGCTTCTACTATAAGTCGAGTTTGGCTCTTGAATCCCTTCTCGAAAGTTCGTGTAACCATTAAAGGTACTCACATCCCCAATACCCAACCTTTAATCTTTTAGGGTTCTTCTATTTTAGTAGGTGTCTGAAAGTTTAGCCTTTCATTTCCCAGGATGCCCAGTAAGTAGTACCTTTATTCCCTTTTTGTAGTCCTGGGTTCCTTATTAAGTTACCCAACACCAAAAAGGGGAGCCCTTTTTATTCCTAGGTTACAGGGCATCCTAGTTTCAGTGGCTTATTGGGGGAGTAAGGCTCCGTTCTTTAAAAGCCCCCAAACCCTAACCCCTAAACCCCCAAACCCCTAAACCCCTTTGGCTCTTGGGTCCCCTCTCGAAAGTTCGTGTAGCTGTTAACAGTATTGTGGCCCCCTTTCTTTCTGCAACCCGTTGGTCCCTCATATTGCTCAAACTACATCTGGGAGTTTCCGAAAATCGGGGGGTACCTTATTTTGGGGTCCTTATAATAAGGATCCGACTATTTGGGTTACTATATTAGGTTTCCCTATCTTCGGAACCCCCCATCTAGTTCAACATGTAGCACCTCAACACTTTTGGGTTGTGAATGGCCCTAAAATCGGTTAAGGGTTTGGTTGGTTGGGGGTATTTGGAGGTTAATAGGTCGTTAGCAATAGGTAGGGGGATAGACAGTTTTAATCCATATTACTGGACTTCCCTAAACCTTAAAACCTAAACCCTAAAACAAAACCCACCTATGACTACCCCCACCTATGACTACCCATGAACCTCCGAGTACTATAGGGGCCTCCCTAACTACCTATACTCTTTTGGGGTTCCTTACTATAACTAGAATAAGGGGCCCCAAGCTTTATTCTAAATATGAAGGCCCCTACATCCCTAAATCCCTTAAAGTACCCTTACAGTATCCCTCAAAAGAACCCTTTTAAGGAACCCTTTCTAATTATTTAGGGCCCGTATATCGGAGTTTCCGAAAATAGGCGACCCTAAGATAGTACCCGAAATAATAGGATCCGCATTCTAGGGACCCCAAAATATGGTACCCCTAATTTTCGGAAACTCCTCTCCTAGGGCCCCTCGCCACAAACAGGACGAGCCGGGACGTGGCATCGGCCTACTCGACATGATCTTTCAGCCGCTTAGTTCTCCGAAGATCGGCGGGTTTAACGATTAAACCCTAAACCCTTAAGGGTTTAGGGTCCCTAAACCCTAAACCCTAAACCAAAACCCTAAACCCTAAACCTTCACGGGTTTAGGGTTGATGGTTTAGGGGCTTAGATTTTAGGGTTTCGAGGTTATCTAAGAGGTGTAAGGGTTTTGAAGTTCAGTGTTGCGGCTGAGGGGCCGGGGGAATGAGTAATATTATCAGCTTGTAGTCCATACAACTGTAGTCCATACAAGTCTTGATATGATATGCCACAAGTACCTGTTGACATTATTCCGGCCTCCACATTCTGCCACACTTTGGGAATCGGGTTTGGGCTTCAGGTGTATAGGGTTCAGCGTTTAGGCATGTAGTCGAGAACCCTTAATATCTTATCGATATATATATATATATATATATATTCAGTACACTGCAGTTCAAGTATGTAGAGTTAGGCCGAACCCTGCGACAATCCCCAGAGAGGGCGGCAAAGCGCACATACAGAATTTGGAGTTTTTGGGACGCTGCAAACATTACCAGAAACACCATGAAACTCTTCCAGACCCGTACGTGATTCTCCCCTGAACCCTAAATTCTGAACCCTGACCGTGAAAGGCTGGGACTGGTGGCTTATCCGGCCAAGCTGTTGCTGATCCCGGCTACTCCGATCCATCACTGGACCACAGCTTACGGGTGCTGCAGGGGAGTGGGTTTGGAGTGCAGATAATACTCGTTGTAGTATACTCCCTCACACTAGCTTACGCCGATACACTCCCGTATAGTAATCCCAAAATATGCCCCGGACCAAAACCCTTAGTGCTGCTATTCCCGCCTCCACTCCCGAAGCACCAGGACCATGGATCATTTCGCCGGGATCCATTTCAAGCGCAAGTGCCTCGGGCCTGATTGAGATGCTTATGTAGGGATTTAAGGACTTGTTGCTCATGCAAAGAGATTTCGTGCTTCAGGGTTTATAGGGTGATTTTAGGGTTTGTATAGGGACTTTAGGGTTTGTATAGGGATTTAGGGTTCAGGGATTTTGAGTGTGTGTTTTTTTCTGGAGCCAAAGATGGGCTTCCTTCGTTTAGGGCTCCTTCCAAGGTATCTGTTCAGAGAGGGACATATGGGTGGTTGTCAAAATCATGGTCCCTTTTTGGGTCCCTGATATAATGAGGCACCTCATATGTAGGGTATCCAAAAAGGGATCCTACTTTTGACAACCACCCATATGGCAAACATAGACTTGTGTCGGCTCTTCCTCCACCTAATCCTAGGATGCCCAGTGGTACCCTTATTCCCTTTTTGTAGTCCTAGGTTCCTTATTTAGTTACCCAGTCTCAAAAAGGGAGCCCATTTTATTCCTGGGTTACTGAACATCCTAGAATGTGAGCCCTGGGTGATGTCTTCCCCGGCCACCCCGCATGTGTCTCTTGTCTGCGTTGATGCACCGGCCGAGGTGGTGGTGCATGTTCACCCAGAGTAACGATGCTTTCGGCGTTACTTGGTTGAGCTTTCAACTCTTTGAGCCCTAAACCCTAAACCCTAAACCCTGAACCTTAAACCCTAAACCCTAAACCCTAAGCTCATCTATAAGAGCTTACCCCTAAGGGTTTAAGGATCCACCTTTTTCGATTTTTCTCAGTACGGGTAGTTCCACACTACTTTACAGGGAACTCCAGAAAGTTGGAATATGGTTTCATGGTAGGATCCCCTATAATTTACCTTAAAGGGGTTACGATAATGATATTCCAACTTTCTGGCTTCTACTGTAGGTCAGGGGGGGTTTGCTACGAGACTTCGGGTGAGGCTTGGACTGCAAGGTTCAGTGTTTCCGGCTTGCGGACCAGACGTATCAGCTTTAGGGGCTTAGTTGTCTAGGATGCCCAGTCGCACCCTTATTCCCTTTTTGTTGTCCTAGGTTCCTTATAAAGTTACCCAATACCAAAAAGAGAGGCCTTTTTATTCTTAGGTTACTGGGTATCCTAGTTGTTTAGGGGTTTCGGGTTTAGGGGTTTAGTTTAGGGGTTTAGGGTTAGGGTCTAGGGTTTAGGGTCTAGGGTTTAGGGTTTAGGGTTTAGCGCTATTCGTGCAATCTTTTTTGGCTATAGTCTCCTTAGGAATTATTTTCTCATTTTTTGTTCTATTAAGACCTAAAAGAATATCAAGCACATTGTTTTTATTATGGTTCTTTAGTTTAAGGGACAATGAGGCGCCAAACCCCTGGCCCTATCGAGACCTAACGCCCCGAACCCTCAAGCCCTATATGGGAGCCTCCGAAAATAGGGGACCCTAATACAAGGACCCTTTAAGGGTTCCTCTAATTTAAGGGTTCTATAAAGGGTTTAGGGTTTAGGGATTTTGGGGATTTCCGAAAATTAGGGGAGCCGGATATAGTACCCTAAATAATAGGATCCTTATTATAAGGGCCCCAGAATAAGGTACCCCCTAATTTCGGAAACTCCCATATCCCATATAAGCCGTAAATTCACAACCCTAAACCCTGCAGGCTTGGAGATCTCAATCAAGGTTTGTTTGTCACGAACCCCCCAGGATCCTATAACGTGGGAGCTGCCGAGAAATCCCCCCTAGAACCCTGAAAGAACTTAGTGGCTGAGTGGTAACCTTCAACCTTGCGGGGCTTATATACTAAGGATGCCCAGCAGTACCCTTATTCCTTTTTTGTAGTCCTAGGTTCCTTATGAAGTAACCCAACAAAAGGGGAGCCCTTTTATTCCTAGGTTACTGGGCATCCTAGTATAATCCTACCAGAATTGAAGAGATTATAACCTTTCTTTGGCTAGGGTACTCAGCCCCCTTCCTCATAAAGCCGCCCGATACCCAGAGACTCCAATATCCCTTAATTAATAAGGAATATACCTGAAATTAAAGTACTCGGATGGGCAGGGGACTTAGTAAGTCGTTCATAAGTAGGGTTCTAACTCCATTTAGGGTACTTATATCTCTACTTAAGACCTACTTACTAAGTCCCCTGCCCCTCCAAGTAGGATCCCTAATATGATTTAATTAAGGGATAGACCTTAAATTATGGTAGGATCCCTAATATCCATTAATTAAGGAATGTATACCTTAAATTATGATAGGATCCCGAATATCCCTGAATCAAGGAACATACCTTAAATCATGGTAGGAGCCCTAGTATGATTTACTGTATATTCCTTAATTAAGGGATATTAAGGAACATACCTTGAATTATGGTAGGATCCCCAAATCTGCAGCTCCCGCAGCTGAAGGTGATTATTGTGGATGCTCTTTGGCGTGCCAAGCACGGGCATTTCGAGAAGCTGGACAAGCTGCTGAATCCCAGAGACACAGAGGCTTTCTTGCTGGCGGCAGGAAAGATGCAGCATGGATGGTTTCTTAGAGGATCATGGGACTTAGAAGTAGGTTATAATTGGGGTTATAAGTCCCCTAAGTGGGGCTATCCTAATTATAACCTACTTATAGCCTTACTTACTAAGTCCCATGAGCCTTCAAGTTGTCTTTGTATGGGCTTGTATAGGCGTTTTTTATGTTTTTTGAGGGCTCTTTGAGGACCTATAAGCGAGGTTATGCAGGGTTTCGGAAGGGAACAAAAAGGCGGGAACGTTGACTGGTGCTAGGATTCGTTGTGCTGCATCCTGAGGGCCTGCGGACAGTTATGTTCCAACTTGCCAGCTGGCTTTGCTCAAAGGGGAGAAGGAGGGACCCTTAATGGGGACCCCTACCCTATAATGGGCTATATAATGGGTATATAATAGCTATATTAAGGGTATATTACCTAGGGGTCCTTATTAAGGGTCCCTCCTTTTTCCCTTGGATTTGCGGAGTCAGGGTTTCCGATTTTCCTCAGGAGCTTGCCCCGTACAATGCTGACGCCGAGAATCCATAGCCCTATACAGTAAACCCTGAACTCCAACACCTGACACCCCAAACCCTAAGAGCCTAGAGCCCGAAGACCTGTAACCTTTTAAAGCTAATCCCGAAAAGCCAATAGACCTGAGCCTGTAGCACCAGAAATATATACATGTTAGGCATCGAAGATTTACACCGAAATCCTAGGAGAGTGAGCGCCTTAAAGCCATGACCCTATTACCTTTCAATTAGTTCTAAGTGTCAGCCCTACACCCTAGCGACAGAACCAGAACTTTCAGAACCCTTTTCTAAAGAACCCTTTAAAGACCCTCAGTCACCTAAACCCTTCAAACACCTTACATTCTAAACCCTTCAAAACCCTAAACCCTAAACCCACGAAACACCCTATATCCTTCCAAAACTCTAAAGGGTACATGTAGGGTAGATAGTAGGTATATACTCAGATCCCCAATACCCAACCTTTTAACTTCTTGGGTTCTTACATTTTAGTAGGTGGCTTATTGGGGGCTTAGTAGCTGAATGGATACACTTTACACTTTTTGGGATAACATTAACCACTCCAAAACTGAAAGGGTACACTTTTGGGGGGCTTGTGAACTCAGCAACTAAGGGGGAGTAAGACTAGGATGCCCAGTAGTACCCTTATTCCCTTTTTGTAGTCCTAGGTTCCTTATAAAGTTACCCAATACCAAAAAGAGAGGCCTTTTTATTCTTAGGTTACTGGGTATCCTGGAAGATATATAGTACTTGGAGGCCCTGTTGACTTAGTAAGTCTACTAAGTATCCCCTAGAAACCCTATTATAATCCCCATAACCCACCTTACTAACCCTACTTACTAAGTCAAAAGGGCCTCCAAGTAGGTATATAAGGACTCCAGGATTCCGGCCCCATACTAGGGGCCCATGAATTTCAGCCCAGCTCCAAGCAAGCCTTATATAGAGGCCTCCAGAATTACCCATACCATTTTGGGGGCTCCTTGAAATAATTATAGTATAACGGGCCCCAAAGCCCTATTCTACCCATTAAGGTGCTTAATTTCAACCCTAAAACCCTTCCAAATAGTTGTAAGGTTTAGGTTCCCTTCTAAGCCCCTTTAACACAAAAAAGGCCACCCTTTGTATTCCTAGGTTACTCTTGGGTCCTTATAATCATAGTATCCTTATACCCTTACAGAAGCCCTACAGAAACCTAAACCCTAAACCCTAAACCCCTAAGTCTTAATTAAACCCTTCAATAAAAAAAATCCTTATACTCTTATAGAAGCCTTACAGAACCCTAAACCCCTAAATCCAAAACCCCTACATAAATCCTAAACCCCTAAACCCTAAACCCTTGAACCCTAAACCCCTAAACCCTAAATCCCTAAACCCTAAACCCTTGAACCCTCAACCCCTAAACCCTAAATCCTAATACCCCTAAACCCTAAACCCTAAATCTTAAACCCTTAGCACCAGCCGAGGCAGGATGAGGAGGACTCCGAAGAGGACCCCCTCGTCTTGAGCATTCTCAAAGACCTGAGCCCTGACACCTGACTGGTTTAGCGTTTAGGGGTTTTAGGGGTTTAGGGCTTAGGGTTTTAGGGTTTAGCGGCTTGGGAGTTAGGTGTTTAGAGTTTAGGGTTTAAGCTTGTTTAGCGTTTAGGGCTTTAGGGTTTGGTGGTTTGGGGTTTAGGCGTTTAGGTTTAGGGGTTTAGGGTAGGGGTTTAGGGTTTAGGGGTTTAGGGTGTTTAGGGCTGCCTAGAATACTACACGGGGGTACTATAACGCACTATGAGTATAAGGGTTCCTGAGTTGTTTTTTCGGTTCCTTATCAAAACCGAACCTAGGACCTAGAGTAGGCCCTTATTCCCCATTTTAGGGTTCTGGTTCCCTTATAACCACCTTTAAACCAAAAAGGGCACCCTTTTTATTCCTAGGTTACTCTTAGGTCTAGGAACAGTAGGAAAAAGGGCGCAACCCTAAACCCTAAACCCTAAACCCTAAATCCTAAACCCTAAACCCTAAACCGTATTATAAAGGGCTACTCAGGAACCTTGGGTCTCCTGACTGCTGCCAAGTCGGGGGGGTTCTTAGGGTGTGGGGTTTTGGGGTTTTGGGGTTTTGGGGTTTTGGGGTTTAGGGTTTAGGGTTTTGGGTTTTGGGGTTTAGGGTTTAGGGTTTAGGGTTTTGGGGTTTAGGGTTTTGGGGTTTTGGGGTTTTGGGTTTAGGGGTTTCATTCTTCCGTGATCAGGTTAGAGTTCTGTTTGCCGAAAATTCTTGTTATGACAACTTGAACTACGCCCTAAACTCTATAAACCCCTAAACCCTAACCCCCCCAACAAGAACCCCAGGTCATGCGCAACGACACCGCTACCGAAAGCAGCGAATCGGAGGTGTAATCGATTCAAGCACCCGCTCCCGAAGTCGTGGCGGCGTGCATAAAAAGTGGCTTGGGTTTGTTTTGAGCTGAGTGGCTGAAGTAGTACACTTTACACTTTTGGGGATATGAACATCCCGTAGAGCACCGAAACCTTAATCTAGTTGGGGCTTATGAACTCGCCGACTAAGTAAGGCTTCTGCAGCCGCTGATTTTTGCGGTCTCTCTATGGGGGTTCGGCAAGAGGCTTGAGGCGGGTTTAGGGGTAAGCTCAATTTACTGGTATCGCAAACGTCTGAATAGCTATTGGATGCCTTCTAATTATTGCTCTTTCTACGACAATGGTTCTCGAAATCCTCGTTTGTAAGGCCATTATACTGTATACGCTCACCAATGCCCTAGCCAAACAAAGCTTCACTGGAATTGAAACCCTCCAAATGAAACCCGAAACCCTGAACTCCATTTCCATAAGACCAGTTCCTGCAGAGGACAAATCGTCGCGACCCAAGTTTACGCACAAGTCTCCATTAACAAAGCCAGTCTGGTGCTGGTTTAAGGTAATGTTTCGGGTTTTTTCCAGATGGGTGGTTGTCAAAATGATGGTCCCTTTTTGTGTCCTTACTATAGTACGGCACCCAATATTTAGGGTACCAAAAAAGGAACCATAATCATGACAACTACCCAGATAACCATGAAGCAAGTTCCTTTGTTCGTTGGGACAGGATGTCCTAGCCGAGTAAGTAACCTTTAATCTTGTCACGTCGGGATATTACAACCCCAACAGGACTACAAAACACCCGATGCTGGTCAACAGTATCTCAGTCCAGATCGCATCAGAGCCTGCTTGTCGCAAGCTCGACTACAGGATATACGTTGGTTACCTTATCATTTGGGTAGTTGTCAAAATTATGGTCCCTTTTGGGGTTTTAAATATTAGGTGCCGCATTATAATAAGGACCCAAAAAGCGACCCTAATATTGACAACCACCCATTTCCTGAGAAGAACTGCACGAGTAAGTTTCCCTCAGCCCTGAACCTTGAAGCTCCAGTCAAACCCTAAAGCCCTAAATCCCTAAACCTCTAAACTATTGAAACCCCCTGAGACCAAGAACCTTAGATATTTTTTGTAGATTCTTATAGGAAACCCTAATCCCAAAAAAGGGTTTTGGCCAGGTTAAGGCAATCCATGCCAGGCCTGCCATCCAAGCGAGCCGCGGTCCATGGCTTCTGGCTGTCCGCTTCGGTGATGTTCGAAGCCCTGGCATGGAAGTGTGAAAGGTGGTATAGAGACGCCGAAGTAATTGGTAATATGGTTCCGATATCGTCCCTAGTTCTAACTACTCAGGCTTCTATAATAGGACTTGGATGAAAGGTTTAGGGATTTAGGGTGTAGAAAGGAGAGGACTTGACGAGGGTGAGAAGTTAGGGCCGAGGGGGCAGAAACGAGCGTTTCGGGCTCAGGGTTGAGGGTTTAGGGTGGAGGGAGGCATGAGGGTTTAGGACTCGATGTAGACATAATTTTGACAACCACCCAGGTAGGGTCATAAGTCCCCTAATACGGGTTATAAGTATAGTTACCCTACTTATAGCCCTACTTATAACTACCCATGAACCTCCAAGTAGGGCATGGTTAGGATCCGACACAGCACCGACACCCGAGCCAAACCTTAGAGAACCTAAACCTTAACACCCTCAAATCTGAACCCTGCAAACCCAAACCCTCAACCATGCAAATCGAAGCCCTAAACCTTACAAGCCTAATCCCTTAACCCTAGGCTAGGCCCGGGAGACTCCCTGCAAACAGCAGAAGTCGCCATGCAAAGGAAGCTGCGAAAGATCGCGAGCCAAACCGCACAACTTCAATCCGTAAGCGGTTTAGAGTTTAGGTTTAGGGTGTAAGGGTAGCCGTGACATGAACAACCTTAAACTTTGAACCCCAGCCTTAACCTAAAATCCTAAACCCTAACCGCAAATCCGAACTCCAAGCCTCAAGGTCTAAACTCCTGTACCTTACTACTTGAAATCCTGAACCCTCAGCCCCGAAAGCCCTGGACCAGTAAACCCCAGAACCCCTAATCCCTAAGCCCTCCGTAAGCTGTAGGACCTGGATTCGCAGCTGTTTGCTGCGGGCGCCGACAAGTTGATAGGCTCTTAGCTCGGCCGGATGTTCTTATAAAAGCCTGCTATTTCATTCCCCATTGTGCAATAAAGTTAGGTCATGAATGTGGGGTGTCCATACTTTGGTGTTCCATGTTGCTGTGTTTGTAGAGGGGCTGTAAGGGTGTGTTGCGTTGTGATGTAATCCCACCCAGCCCGGGACCCACACTCTGATTCCACAACCTGGAAGGTTGTCTTTTGTTTCCCCTACAAAGCAGGAGGAGTACACTCTCTTTATGCCATGTTAGCATACCCTCTACACTGAACCCCATTAGATTTTGTGGCAAAGGGATGATTCGTGATGGTAGTTCTTGACTGCGTTGGGGCCAAGAGGACGATGAGTTTGCAACTTTCATTGTGGGCAATACAGGCTACTCCAGACACTATATTGATACAAGTCTACACCTCCAAACCCTAAGGGTCCAAGTACCCAATAATCATATACTCTCCTTAATATTAAACCTACATAACTCCTATCCTAAACCAAAGTACCTGATTCTTCGGTCCTTTGGACCCTTGGGGGAAAGCTCTTTTCTAATTACTTAGGCCCCGAGATGAGGTGTATGAGTCAGCCTGTTGGGTTGAGCCACTGCCTCAGGCAGCAGACCTCTCTCCCACTTTGCGTGCAGCTGGCCTGTCTTTGCATTTTATAGGTGGTGGGGCCGAGAGTGAGCCTCAGCAGGTTGGAATATGGATTTCGGATGATTAGTGCTACCTTAAGGGCATGAGTATAATGATGTTCCACTTTTCTAGCCGCTCTTAAAGGGCTTTCATAGGGTTCACCCACCTTGACTCGAGCTCTTGAAATCCCAAAACCCCAGTGTGCCGTGGATCGCAAAAGCGCGTGGGTTTCCTTATCTGAGGCAGGGCAAGACTGGAACGATTCGCATTTTGATGGCTTTATAGGAATCCTTATACTGCAAACAATCCGAAACCGTGAATAGGAAGATTCATCTGTTGTGGAAAAACTGCTGCGCTGCCCATATGTCATAATTAGTTCCCACAAGCTATACTCAAAGTGACGCATTCACCAGATACCCGCCCCCTGAGCCCTACGCAAAGCACCAAGCCAAATCCCCTAATAGTAGTGAATGCAATGTCGCTGGTTCTTGCGAACTTCTCCGAAATCCCAAAACAACTCGTAAATCCGAAGCCCTTGTGCTGTATAGAACCTTACATGTAAAAGTCGAGCAGACAATGTATGATCCCACCGACACCTTCGTCAGGCTCCTTTCTTCGAACCCTCCTAAGGCCCTAACAATCCCTATGTAACACTTATAATATCCCTGAAAAACGAGCCCTAACATTCAAAGGGGCCATATTCTAGATATCAAGGCGCTCTATGCCCCCAAACCCTACACCGTGAAACCCTAAAATCCTAAAGTCCTAAAAGCTCTAAACACCAAAAGCCCTAAACTCCTAAAGTCCTACAAGCTCTAAACACCAAAATCAATCAAATCCTAAAGTCTTAAAAGCTCTAAACTTCTAAACACCAAAACTCTAAGCCCACAAGAAACCAATAAGGGCACCCTTTTTAAGCCCACAAGAAACCAATAAGGGCACCCTTTTATTCCTAGGTTAAGTAGGCGGCGTGTAGATGCAGGATATCACTAAGAGATTACTCTTTGGCTCTTGGGTCTAGTTAAGGCGCTCTAAGCTTTCAGGCCGCTCCGGATCGGGGCCGAGGACCGCAAGGACGTCATCGCAGAGCGCACGCTGGGCTGGGGCCTGAGGAGAGGTATGTAGTTACTTTTTGAGGTTCATGGTTACTGTAAGGGTCCCTTTAAAGGGCTCTATAGGGATTTAGGGTTTGGGGGTTTTGGGTTTAGGGTAGTTATAACCCAAAGGCTCCGTTGTGGTTCCTTTCTGAGGGTTTAGGGTTGTGAAACCTGCTGCAGGAGCTGTACATGTTCATCTTGAAGCTGAGCAACCTACCGTTGCTCCTTTCCGAGGCTCTAGGGTCCGGGAGGGTAGGGCTTGCGGTCGCTGCCGGGCAGCGCATGGACCTCGAGTGCTGATACGGAAAAGGGAGTGCTGGGCATTCCTCAGCTGGCGGGGTTCAGCTCTTCATTGCATTGGATTGTGGCTAATCCTTTTGGACATCTTCGAAGTGGCTGGGAGCCACTCACTTGCATTCATCTTTTGATCTATTGGCAGGGCCAAGGGCTACCAGGGTGAGACTTTACCAGTCTCACACTGGTAGCGGAGCAACTGGAGCTTCGCTATCGGTGGCGGAAAAGCTAGTATCCGAGTGACCTTTGGAAGATGCCGCCCGCGACACAGGCACCGACTGAAAGTGCCCCGGCTTCCAGTAGCCCGGGCTCCGAATCGAGCTTTCAGCTGCCGTGGAATGCCATTCCAAGATTTACTCCGGGTACGACAGATGTCACTGAGTACTCAAAGAAGCTACAGCTTTTGGCGGCCATGTGGCCGAAGGAGAGCATCTCGCTGCTCGCTCCACGAGCAGCTTTGCTTTGTGAAGGCACCGCCTTCAAGAAGGTGGCCAAGCTTTCAGCTGACAAACTGAAGAGCAATGATGAGAGCGGCGTGCAGCTGCTAGTGGCGACTTTGGGGGGGTTCCTGGGGACGCTCCGACGTGGAGACCAAGTATGACGTTTTCGACAAGGCCATTTTTGGAACCATTCAGAAAGCCGACGAGTCGAATGACAGCTATTTGGCCAGGCATGACGTTCACTTCGAGGAGCTTCTGTCGCAGAGTGTGACTCTGGAGGATGTTCGGGCTTACGTTCTGCTCAGACAATCAGCCTTATCGGCTGAGGAGCGGAAGAAGATTGTGGTGGAGATGAGCGGAGCCCTCAAGTATGATAAGGTCCGCTCGGCGATTCGTCTGCTGGGGTCAAGGTTCTTTTCTGATTTGCAAGGCCAGCGCGGCGCATTTCGGAGCAAGACTTATGATGCCAATGTGGTAGAGGACTCGGGGTTCGATGAGCCGGACCGCATTTATCACGCGGCGGCGACTCCGAGTATCGCCGAGGACTATGAGGGAGAACTTGAGCCTGAGTACCTGGAGGCCTTGATTGCGGCGGAGGACGGCGACGCCCTCGTCGTCCAGAACTTCGAGGAGGAACTAGAATCCTTCTTCCAGGAAACTCCGGAGATGCAAGAGGTCTTGGTGAGCTACATGGAGGCTCGATCGAGGTTGCTTTCGAAGCGGAAGGTCAGGCGATTCTGGCCCGTGAGCGGGCACAAGGGCGGAAGGGCTTCCGGGAAGGGGGCCAAAGGAAAAGGCAAGGGGAAGGGCAGCAGAGAGCAGCTCTTGGCGAGAATCGCCAAATCCACTTGTCGGGCTTGCGGGGAACGCGGACATTGGAAAGCGGAATGTCCGAAGTATGGTCGCCCCGGATCGATGACGGCGGCCAACAAGACTGAGGCCACGACGACCTTTGCCGAGGAATGCCCAGAGCAAGCTACCGCCTTCATGACAGGCCTGGCCACCGGGATGGCTGGCGAGGAGATCCTTACGGAGCTGCCCGAGGAAGCAGTCTCCCTTGCCGAGGCGTTGAATGTAACGGGGGTTGCTAATGTTCGTGGGGTTCGTGAGCGATTAAGGACCCTAGTAGCCAATGTCAACCGAAAGGGCCCCCTAAGCCAAAACAAACCATCCAGGCTGGCGATGTGGAGCCAAGGACTGGACTGAGGGCCCTCCGCGTAGGCCCACGGCAGGCTCCACATGTGAACAGAGGGTTCCTGAGGTAGCATTGCAATGCACAGACGAGGTAGAAGCAATCCTGGACACTGGAGCAAGCCGTTGTGTCATGGGACAGCGGCTTTTGAAGCCGTTCTTGAGCCAGCTGAGCGATAGGGTCCGGGGCATGATTCGGGTCACGAAGAGTTCTGTGAAGTTTCGGTTCGGGAATAATCAGACTCTTGATAGCTCCCAACGACTGTTAGTGCCCATCAGGACCGTAGATCGCCAGGTTTTGTGGCTTGGGATAGAAGTGGTTGCGGGCAGCACGCCGTTACTGTTCTCCAAAAGGGCAAATAAGCAACTTGGGGGTATCATTGACACTAATGATGACACGTGCTGCCTCCTGCGTCTTGGCAAGAAGCTGCAACTGCGCACCAGCGCTACCGGACTTTACATGCTGGACCTTGCCCGATTGAGTGAAGAAACCTGTGCTGCCAGCGATGATCAGTGCCAGCATGCCTGTGAAGTCACCGCCATGTGCCCAAAGGAACCCAAGCCACCGCCTCGAGAGTCTCGTGATGACCCTGAGTCGCGCCCAATTTGTGGGCCATGCATGGTAAATCTACAGCCTGAGGTGAATAAGGAGCCAACAGTCTCATGTGCGATACCCGCAAGGCGCTCCTTTCGGGGTCCCCAGGTTTTGAATTCAGATAGCCGATTCCGTAAATATCCGGAGTCCGATAATGTCAGGTCCTTCAAGGCCCGCTGTACAGATGTTTTAGCCAAGAATGCCAACCTTCCGAAGCCCGAAGCCGTAAACAGATCAACCGATCTCGCAATCCCTGACTCCTCTGTAGCTCCCCTGAGCCCTGATGGCCCAGAGCAAGGCAGCCAGCAGTGTCGAGGTGCCAGCCGAGACCGAGAGGTTGTCCCTCGGAGCACGGTTCAGCCGGATGAATCGAGCCGAGAAGACATACACCTTGACGCAGGCACGCACGGTGCCGCTAGCCGAAGTGGGCCGCCTTACGATCAATTTTGGGAAGCAGGTCAAAGGCCGCAGCTTCGAAGATGTGGTGACCCAGGAGCAGTCATGGGTCCGTTGGTGTTGCGACCATTTGGCAGGGAGCGAGAAACACGAACACAAGATGTGTTTGTTGTACATCGAACGGTGTGTGCAAGAGGCCGAAGCCTTGGAGCAGGAGTTGACCCAAAGCCTGGACGAGGATTTCGCTTCCACTCCCGAGGTTCCGATCAAGAGTGCAAGACTTCCCAAGCGCAAAGCTGCGCCTCGCAGCGTTCCCAAGGGCGGGGAAGATCAATGGGATGTGGTCGTGGATCCCGATTCGGCGCGCCGGGTCGACGAGCAGATCAACGATCTGAACAGTCGAGTCATGCAGATGGAGAGCATGATGCATCAAATGTTGAGTGCAATTCAGCAGCTCAGCCTCCAGCCCCAGCAGCAATTGCCTTAGAGCATGTTCAGGCCTGTAAGACTGAAGTTCAGAGATGCTTAGAGGCAGTCCAGGAAGCCACCAATCCCAATTGGATCGAATGTCAAGCGCAAGCCCTCCTTGAGGCCCAAGCTTCGCCTCAGGAGATGCGACGTTTTCTGTGCCGGGTTCCATGGTCTGAACTAAAGGCCCCTAATAGTGCAAGTCGGTCCATCCATGAGAATGATAGCGCCAACCATAAGCTTCCTCCGGCCTATGTCACTTTCGGGGTATACGTGCATGGTGGGTTAACGGGAATTACGAATGTCTCCCGCGAATATCCCTACCTTACCAAGGTCCTCACTCGACTGTTTTCCGAGCAACAGCCTGAACACCCGTTCACCTCCATTTCAGTATCTTGCAACACCAAAGCTAAGCCCCACAGGGATGTGTATAATAGTCTTGAAGTTCCGAATCTAGTGCTGCCCCTCGTGTATCCGCAAAGTGGAGGGGAAATCTGTGTTGCGAATCCCCCGGGTCCCAACCAACAAGCTAAGAGCCTGATGTGTGCGGGTAAGAAGCTGTCTGGAGCCCTGCACTGCCTTCGCGAATCGATGCTGATCGATCCACACGTGTGGCACGCCACGATGCCGTGGAGCGGCAATCGTCTACTTGCGGTGGGGTATGCCTCCAAGTCGTACTTCAAGGTTGATAAAGGGGAGAACGATTGGCTTCGGGATCATGGGTTTCTCTTAGATCAAGTGGATAAGTCTAACCCGGATATCCCTAGTGGAGGAACCGCCATGTGTGCCCAAAATCCACTTGAGGCTTCTAAGTCCCCACTGCGTCAGGAACTTGAGGGAAGCCTTCACCTTCTTGAAGCACCCACCTTGTTTTCGGAAGCCAATCAAGCGATCGAGGCATGTTTGCAAGCCTTTAGTCAGGCCCAAGTGACCAGTTGGGAAACCTTTGAAGACTCTCTTCTTACGTACAAGAAGCCCACTGAGGATCAGCTAGATGTACTAGAAATAGGTGCTAAGCCAGACAGCGGACTGACGCAGACCGTGATGGACTTCGGAGGCCGTGCACGACGATTCACTCCCCAGTCTGGAGATCTTTCGACGGTTGAAGGTCAAAGGCTTTTGTGGGATCTGGTTCAGCAGACGCAGCATAAGCATATATGGATAACTCCTGATTGTCGATTCTGGGGTTCCTGGGCTCACTTTAATGCTGCGAGGAGCGATAAGTACACTCAAGAAATGCTTGAGGGTCGGCGCGAGAGTCAGATTATCCTTCAGCTGTATGCGAAGTTGTTTGAGTGGCAGAAGCAGCATGGACGTGAGTTTCATTTTGAACAGCCTGCAGGAGCCACCATGTTACAGGAAGTCTCTCTTGCCCCTGTAGTGCGAGGAACCCACAAAATCAACGTCGACATGTGTGCTTTTGGCCTCCAGACCCCTGTAAGTAGAAGACCCATCAAGAAGGCCACCACGTTTCTGAGCACGTCTTCAGACCTCACGCATAGCCTGGTCTCGAAGCAATGCCCGGGGCATCCGAATCATCAAACCATATCCGGAAGGCTTCGTGAGCTAGGCGGGCAAACCATTTTACAATATGCTGCTTCGTACTGCTTGGGTTTCGCGCAACATGTGGCGAAGCATCTGCTGGCCACAACTGCCGAGCAAGGCATGGTGACCTCCGAAGGTGAACCAATCCTGACCCGTAAGCGGTTTAAGACTTCGGTTGGAATACCTAGTCCCCAGGGCACCCTAGGATCCCAAAACCGACCAGCAGACGCGACACAGGACAGTGCCCGACGGGGCCAACCGAGCCGTCGTTTGGAAGATCCGCGCAGTGTTTCTGTGCCCGCCAGCCTTTCCGAGGCTGCGTGGAAGCCCATCTTTGAGCTAGCAGCCCAGTGTAATTCCCGTGCCTCCCCCAGTCTGGTTCCGCCTCAACATGAGATACTCGCCCTACTAGAGCAAGTTTTGCCGAAATATAAGGTTCTCCAGGCGTTTGTGGGCAGTAACTGCAGAAACCTCCATCACCCCCTAGGAGCCTTACCCGCCACTGTTGCTCCGATGCGAGTGAGCATTGCCGCAATTTCCTTACCGCACGGGGGAATAGAGTTTAAGAGATTAGGGGAAGAGGTTCGATCAAACATGACAAATGCACAGAAGCGGGCACGGATATCGATGGTGCGACAGCTTCTGACTGTCTTTGCTCAGCAGCGATCAGCTGGGGACCCGTCTGCCCCAACCAGTGATCCCGGAGAAATCTCCCAAACCTTGAGGGCTGGGCACCACCTCCTGTTCCCCTTCATGGTCCTGCCTACCGTAATCTCAATCCTGAGGAAAAGACCGAGCTTCGCCGTGTACACGTGAATCTAGGACACCCGTCACCGGAGGTGCTTGCACGCCACTTGCAGGCAGCAAAGACTGATCATCGTTTGATTGCCGCTGCTCGCGAGTACCAGTGTGACTCCTGTCTGGAGTCGACGCAGCCGCTTCACCAACGGCCTAGTAAGTTCCCGGTAATCAATGAGTTCAATGATTTGATCGGGGTAGACGGCTTCTACTTTAAGAGTAAGTCTGGATATCGCACGTATGTTCTTCATGCCATTGATGAAGCGAGCTGTTTTCAGCAAGGGCGCCGAGCCACTTCCAGACACACCTCCGATGCTCTCCAGGCACTTAATGACTTCTGGATCAGTTGGGCTGGACCTCCTAAGCAGGTGTATTTAGATCCGGCAGGAGAATTTCGTTCGGAAGAAGTGCTAGAGCATTTTCAGGGGATGAATATTAAGACTCATGTCACTGCCTCTGCATGGCAGAGAGGGCGTCTGGAAAGGCATGGTGATATCATCAAAGAAATGCTTGAGCGAATGGACATCAGCAATCCTGTCATCAACGGTTCTAGCTTCGATCAGGCCTTGTTACATTGCATACTTGCCAAAAATGCTCTAGTGCGCCATGAAGGGTATTCACCCGAACAAATTGTGTTTGGCAAGGCCTTACGAGTTCCAGGTAGTTTAATATCGCATGATGACCTAACGTCACGCGCCCTGACTGAGGGAGTTGAGCTAGAGGCTGAGCGCCACCGTCGGCGTTTGGACATTCGCTGTCAAGCTCGGAGAGCATTCCTTGAAGCCGATAATTCACAGGCGATTCGGCGAGCCGCGCTCCGAAGAAGCACACCGCTTCGTGGACCATTCACTCCGGGAATGTGGGTTTTGTACTGGACCAAGAAGAGCTCCCCTAATAGACTGGCAACGGGTCGCTGGCATGGGCCAGCTAAGGTAATCTGCTCAGAAGGTAAGTCTATTGTGTGGGTGGCCCACGGCACGACTGTCATCCGGAGTGCTCCCGAGAATCTTCGACCGGCATCCCTCCGCGAGTGGCAGAGCTTAACCAATTCACAGCTGGAAGAGCCGTGGAAGAATGCCGGCGGAGCGAGTTCCTTCGTTGATCTGACAGGTGTTTCGTCTGATCATGCTGAGCCGGTAGTGGCTTCTGGTCCGGGCGCTCCACATAATCCCGTAGTCCTGGAGCCCACACCTCTCATCGCGCCATCCGCTCCCCATGCCTCAACCGCGCCTGGAAGATCTTGGACAGCCGGAACAGGAGCTCACCTCCCAGGTGAGCCAGGAAACCCCTGAAGTTGAGCGCCGCTCTGCTGCTGCTCCTTCCGTGGATCCAGTTTCCGCTGCTGTACCTAATGCCGAAACCTCTGTTGTCAGTCCACCTGAGCCCCAAAACATTCCAGTTCCTGGATCCGATGAAGGACTGATCTCTGATCAGGTGTACTTGTCCTGTGAAGAAGCTGGATTCCACGATGAATCGGGGTCCGAGTTCTCGCACTTCATGACGTTGCAGACCGGAGATTCCTCCACCGCTCCTTTAGCCGAGGATAACTTGCCCTATGTGATGGAGCCTTTGCACAATTCTCCAGAGCAAGCATATTGTCTAGAGGTTCCCTTAAAGCCTAAAGAAGTTAAGCGATGGAGGAAAGAAAAGTCTGCTGGAGACCTGGTTGCCGTTGCCGCTGCCATGAAGCGGGCACGCACTGAGGTTTGTCTGAAGGACTTGAGCGCCAAGGAGTTGACTTTCTTTGATCAGGCCAAACAAAAAGAAATCAACTGTTGGATTCAGACATCGGCTATCCGGGCCATTCTTCGCCGAAAGTTGAACCCAGAACAGATTCTCAAGTCACGATGGATTCTCACGTGGAAAGCACCCGAAGTCGGTGAAACCCAACAGCGTGCTAAGGCACGCTTAGTGGTGCTAGGCTTTCAGGACCCTAAGTTGACTGAAGTTTGCCGTGATGCCCCAACTTTGTCCAAGGAAGGTAGATCCATTGTTCTTCAGACGATTGCCTCCATGCGCTTTCAGCTGAGCTCTTTTGATATCAAGACCGCCTTCTTGCGTGGAAAGGCAGATGCAGCAAATCCCTTGGCAATGGAGCCTCCTAAGGAACTTAGGAAAGCTCTTGGCTTAAAGGATAACGAAGTTTGTGAGCTCCTAGGAAATGCTGACGGCCGGGTCGACGCGCCTCTTTTGTTTTATGTAAGCAGCTGTTTGCCTTAGGATTTACGCGTCATCCGCTGGAACCACGTGTTTTCATGTTGTATCAAGAGAGCCGACTGAGAGGGGTGCTTGGCATGCATGTTGATGATGGAGTCTGTGGAGGAGATGAGGTTTTCAAAGGTAAGATTAGTGAGCTTGAAGACGTTGCCGTTCGGCAGCCGCAAATTCAATAATTTTACGTTCACTGGCATTCATCTTCAACAGTCCCCCGATGGAGCTATCAAAGCTAGCCAGGATGAGTATGTCCGTAACATTCCACAGATTGATGTAGGCCGCGCCAGCCGCCAGACCCTTGAGGCAAAGCTTAATGAGACGGAGCAGTCTAAGCTTAGGGGATTGATAGGTAGCCTGCAGTACGCCGTGACCTATACCCGACCCGATGTAGCGGCTAAGTTGGGGGAAATACAGGGTCAGACGTCGGGTGCCACTGTGCAGACGCTGCTGGCTGCCAACCGCGTCTTGCGTGAAGCACAGGAGACCTCCCAAGTTAGTCTTAAGTACCTGCCAATCCCAGTAGACCAACTGACCTTCGTATCCTTTGGGGATGCCTCGTTTGCTTCTGCAAAGAATCTGCATTCTCATCAAGGCGCGCTGATTTGCGCGACGGATGAGAAGTTGAGCCAAAATCAAGAGGCACCGGTCTCTCCTGTAGCATGGACATCAAAGAAGATTCCTCGAGTAGTGCGTTCTACGCTCTCTGCCGAGGCGTATGCAATGTCTAAAGCTGTGGATATCTTAGGTTGGGTTCGAGCACTTTGGGGATGTATTCACGTTGGAAATTTCCAATGGCAGCAACCAGAAGCGGGCTTCAAGCAATTGCCTCCAGCCACGATTGTTACTGATTGCAAATCGTTGTACGACTTGGTGACTCGGCTGGCCATGCCGTCTTGTGAGGAGTTCCGCACGACCTTGGAAGTGTTGCTGATTAAACAGCGCTGCTTGGAAAACGCGCACTTGAGGTGGATCCCAACCACTCTTCAAGTTGCAGATAGCCTCACCAAGCCCATGGACCCCGTGCTTTTCAGAACCGTTCTCGCTCAGGGCCGTTTCCGTCTATATGACGCATCAGAAAAGTTAGACAAGACAGCACAAAGGAAGGAAGCAGTTCGCAGGCTGCTTCAGCCCTCCCAAGTTTCTTTCTCCAGCACCTGAGTGCTTGACCGAGTCTGTCGGGATCAGACTCTTTTGATTTGAAAGAACGCCTCGTCCATTGAGATGAACTTGCACAAAAAAACTTAGAACAGTGTGAAACACCTGCTGCAGGAGCTGTACATGTTCATCTTGAAGCTGAGCAACCTACCGTTGCTCCTTTCCGAGGCTCTAGGGTCCGGGAGGGTAGGGCTTGCGGTCGCTGCCGGGCAGCGCATGGACCTCGAGTGCTGATACGGAAAAGGGAGTGCTGGGCATTCCTCAGCTGACGGGGTTCAGCTCTTCATTGCATTGGATTGTGGCTAATCCTTTTGGACATCTTCGAAGTGGCTGGGAGCCACTCACTTGCATTCATCTTTTGATCTATTGGCAGGGCCAAGGGCTACCAGGGTGAGACTTTACCAGTCTCACAAGGGTTTAGGGTTTAGGGGTCTAGGGTTCAGGGGTTTACCCAAAGGCTTCATTCTAGTTCCTTTTTGTGGTTCATAGTAGCATCTTATAAAGTAATCCCAAAAACGAACGACTGTGGAGCCTAAGGGTAGTGTGGGGGCATCAATGATCAGAACAGGGTTTTGGGCTCCTTTATAGTGTAACTAGAATAAGAACCGTAAGGAATACAGTATCATTGGTAACTGTTTTGGCTCCCACAGTAATGTGGGGGGCATCAGGGGAGTTTTAGGGATACTAGCACTCTTAGGGACTATTAGGTAAGGCAATACGACGAGAGGGTTGTAATATGGGCCTATTTCAATAATTACCTTAGCCCTGAAGAACCTACTTTTTTAGGGTTCCCTATTTTGATTTCCTTTCATAAATCCTTAAAAAGGTAGGTTCTTCAGGGTTAAGGCAAGCAGTCACACCTAGACCCTGCAATGTGGTACCTTGTTTTTGGCACTGGACGATGCGAAAACCCTCTAGACTCCATGCAGTGCAAGCACTAACCCTTAACACCCCACAATAATGAAGAGCCTGAGCACGAACCACACAGGTCTCCCTGAACTGTGAATCCTGAACAGCTAGACCCTAAACCCCTAAACCTTAAACCCCTAAGCCCCGAAACTCTAAACCGCCAGACCCTCAACTCCAGGTCTTTGCAAGTACCTTATAACTCATATTAGGGGACTTATAACCCTACTTATAACTACCCATGAACCTCCAAGTAGACCCTCAACTCCAGGTCTTTGCAATTAGGGTCCCTTCTGGGTCCCTAATATAGTACAGCACCTTTTTTTTAGGATACCCAACAAGGGACCATAATTTTGGTAACCACCCATATGGGATATCCCGATCCTCATTTTTGCTAAGACCCTAGACCTTAAACCCTTAATCCCTAAACCCTAAACTTTGCACTCCAGGTCTTTGCAAGTACCCTTGAAGAATTTCAAAAGATCCCTTAAAAGGGACCCTTAAAGGAGCCCTATAGATCCCTTTAAAGGAACTCCAGGTCTTTGCAAGTACCTTATAACCCATATTGGGGGACTTATAACCCTACTTATAACTACCCATGAACCTCCAAGTAGACCCTCAACTCCAGGTCTTTGCAAGTACGGTCCCTTTTTGGGTCCCGAATATAGTACGGCACCCATTATTTATTGTACCCAACAAGGGACCATAATTTTGGTAACCACCCACTAACCAAAGGTAAGTTATAGGATTATTAAGGCCCCTACATTAAAGTACCCTTATAGCTCCCTTACAGTAACCCTTATAAGACCCTTTGACAACCATCCAGGTCTTTGCAAGTACCTCGACCACGTCCTGAAGTGCACGGAGCCTCCCGCGCCAGCCCCGGGGGGGCGAGGGTTTCCCGCAGCTGCGGGCGTAGCGAAGGGTACCTTTAAAGGGATCCTCTAAGGGCTCCTTAAAGGGATCTACAAGGGTTCTATAAAGGGTTTAGGATTTAGGAGTTTCCGAAAATTTGGGTACCTTATTTTGGGATCCTTATTATAAGGATCCCATTATTTAGGGTCCTATAGTCCTATATAGTTCAGGGTTTAGGATCTAGGGGTTTAGGGGTTAAGGGTTTAGGGGTAAGCTTAGCGATACTTATAGTAGGGTTCAGGGTTCGGGTTTAGGGGTTTAGGCGGTTTAGGGTTGGGGGGTATCTGCGGCTTCGAACAATGTAGAACAAGGTTATGACATGTTACATAGTGACTTCTTCACCAAGTCCCATGATCCTCCAAAGCAGCGATGTTTAGGACTGAGGGCTTGAGATTCAGGCTTGTGAGTGAGGGTTTAGGATGTAGGGTTTAGGACTTGCCGTTTCATTGCTGAATATTGCTATAGTACTATAGCTGCCTGGAAGCACTGGTTGAAGAAGCCGAGGAAGATCGATTTCGAGATATCACCGATGAAGATGGCCTTGCGCCAACGATAAAAATCTTCGTTGGCTGCAAACAAATCGGCCAATCCGCTCCGTGGTACTTTGGGCATCGCCATGCGTGCTTCTTACTGATTGGGTGCGCGTCTGGAGTCTGGCCGTCGTCCTGATTTAGTGGGTTGATATGAAAGGCTTTGCAGACTATTCCAGAACTCTTCCTGACAGCTCCGACTTTCGCGCCGCACTCTGCGACTTCAGCTGTAATTCGCGAATGTGCCCAAGACAGTAAAGATCAAGTGAGAACGAACTTTAGATACAAGTGTGACGATAACTACACTTGCACTTAAGGCCCTGAAAAGCTTGCTAATTAGAGTATTCCTAGGTGAGCTTTTTGCCCCTTTCTGTGATCTTAGATTCTTAGTGGCTGAGTAGGTAACCTTGAACCTTTTGGGGTGTATATAATCCTACCATACTTGAAAAGGTTACCCCTTTCCTGGGCTAGGGTACTCAGCCACTAAGGATGCCTTAGAAAGCACCCAATACCCCCAGACTCCAATATCCCTGAATTAAGGAATATACTTTGGATTATGGCAGAATCCCTACTATGATTTAAGGTAGATTCCTTAATTAAGGGATGTTGGAGTCTCTGGGCACCAGGAAAGGAACACATTTTTTATTCCTGGGTTCTGGGGTTCCTAGGTTCCGACGCACCCACTTGGAGGTTCATAGGTGGTTAGAAGTAGGGTTATAAGGGGTTCCTTTAAAGGGTTCTATAGGGTTATAGGGTTTAGGGATTAGGGTTTAGGGTAGCTATAAGTAGGGTTATAAGTAGCGTAACTATACTTATAAGAACCATATTAGGGGGATCCTAGATTCCGACACCCAGAAGCCGGTTCTAGACATCAAGTTCGTTGTGTTCAATTCAACACCAGTTTCTTCTCTGACCAACTCGACCCCAGGCCCTAAGACACATCCGAAGCCCAAGACTCTGCAAATCTCCGAGTACTTAAACAGCACAGTTGGGGGGTTTAGGTTTACGGTTTCGGGTTTGCACATGTTTGCCCACAATGCGCGAGAGACGGCAGTATCTACTGTTTATTTAGGCCTTGGCCCCAAACGCTCAAAGCCAAAACCATCCGAAGCCCCAAACTCTTCAGGCACCAACATAAGCCATAGACACTAAACCTTGTGCCCGATGAACCCAAACTCTATAGGCACCCAAGTTCCTGGTTCAACTCATGGATGACTTCGTTACCAAGCTGCGGCCTGAGCTGACGGGGATTATACGAGAGGCCTTTGTATTCTTAGGTTACTAGGTATCCTAGGTACTCAGATCCCCAATACCCAACCTTTTAGCTTTTTGGGTTCTTGTATTTTAGTAGGAATCGGAAATTTCAACCTTTGATTTCAGTGGCTTATTGGGGGAGTAAGTATAAACCAAGTAAGGCTTACCCGTGTAAAACCTTTTCTGAAAATCTATAGTATCCTTAGGATTTATTGTTTATTTTTGTTCATATAAAACCACCAAAAAACATATATTTGTTTTTTTTTTGTGGTTCTAAGGGTGTTATAGGTAAAACCCTTTCAAAATATCTTAGACAAGCTTAGAATGGCATGTACTTCAAGATCCTTCCAAACCTCCTAGGATGCCCAGTAGTACCCTTATTCCCTTTTTGTAGTCCTAGGTTCCTTACCAAGTTACCCAATACCGAAAAGGGAGCCCTTTTTATTCCTAGGTTGGACATCCCAGCCTCAACAGGTGGGCGCTTAAGCCCCCTAAACCCCTAAACCCGGAACCCCTAAACCCTAAACCCTTAAAACGCATCCGACCTCGATTGGCGCAGAGCGGCCCATTACGCGCGGGGGACGGCCCGATGCAGGTTCCCCTCAGCGCTGGTCCCCCAATGACTAAGGAAATAAAGGGGCCTTAATTCGAATAGGGTTCTTTTAAAAAAGGGCTCGTTCAAAGCTCTATAAGGGATCGATAGTAGGGTTCTATGATATATAGGGGCCTTAATATCTAGAAGAGAGTTTTGGGGGACATTATACTATACTTATAATAGGGAGCCCCCAAAATGGCATAGGTAATTATTTAGGCCCCTACAGTACCTGGCCCGGCCCCGTTTGGGGGTCTGGCCGCCTAAGACGGCGTGGGGTGGGGAAGAAACAAGGCAAAGCCGTCCACAGTCGGGCTTCAGCAGCTAATCGTCAAACTCAAATCACAATGAATTTCAAAATTACAGACAGCAAGGTACTTTAGCTGATTCGCCATTCCACGGCAAACCCTACACCCTAAACTCGTGCACCAAAAACCCGAAAAACCTAAATCCCTAGACCCCCAAACCCCTAACCGCTAAACCTCCGACACAAAATCCGAAAGCGTGACGAGGTACTGGGCCGGCTCCTTCGATGCATTTAGCAGCCGAAGAAGGGCTTTCAGAACGATTTGGGGGACCGGCTCGGAGCTTAGGGTGTAGGGTTCAGCGGCTCTTTCGGAGCAGACATATTGAGACAGGGGTTTGGGGGCCTCGGACTCTTTTACTCATTTCAGGAAGAGTATTGCTAATCTCTGAGGCCACTCTGTTTGGACACCCCAGCTAGAAGCCCATAAATATATGAGCATAACTATTTAGGCAGGTACGTATGTACATTCACGTCTTCATCTCTCGGCCGACTCGGCTGTCTCGCCCCGGTATCGGCTGAATCGCGACATTGAAGACCATCTTCACAGCTTCGACAAGTTGCCAGACGCGGATGCAGCCAGGGCCCGTGGTGTTCTGTACTGTGCGTGGGGCACTGGTACCGTCGTCACTGAAGAAGCTGCTGAGCCAGGCCCCCTTGTCGGGAAAAAGTTCTATCTGCACACAGCGCGAGGATGGGGCTTGTGCTGGGGCGAACTGCACGCAAGCCACTGTTGCCGCAAGTTCGTGTTCATACCCCAAGGGTCCAAGTACCTAATAATCATATACTCTCCCAAATAGCAACCTACATAACCTACATAACTACTATCCGACATCTTAGTATCTAATTATTGGGTCCTTTGGACCCTGAGGGATACAGGCCCAGGCAGATGCTGCGCAACAGCAGCCCAGACCATCCCGATCCGGAGAGCCCAATACCCCTTAATGAAGGAATATATAGGACCTAGGGTTCCTTTCAGGGATCTATAGGGTTTAGGGTTCAGGGTTAAGGAATATACCGTAGATTATTAGGGGCTTGATAATATGATTTAAGGTATATTCCTTAATTAAGGGTTATTGCGCTCTCTGGGGATCCCTCCGGATCCTTCAGGGCGGAAGCGGACGGAGAAACAGAATGCGACCCCGAAACCCCAACGTGGTATGACGCACTCGTGGCAATACGATCTTTGATAGGTATTCTTTTTCCCGAGCATTTTTAAACTGGTTTAGGATCCATCGTTATTTTCCTGTCGAGCTTGTGGGACTGAAGGTTCCATGGACTGTCGGTTTTTGGGTTCAGACCTTGTCACTTGTGCGTTTGAAACCCTAGCACTTCGGATGTAAAGCTGAGGAAACTTGGAGCGGCTGCTGGCCACACCCGTCGAAGAGCCTCCGCCCGTGCAGCCGACTAGATTGGGAGACCCGTAAGAAGGGTTACTTGGAGGTTCATGGGTAGTTATAAGGATTCCTTTACAGGTCCCTTTAAAGGGTTCTATAGGGATTTAGGTTTAGGGTAGTTCCGGGTAGTTATAACCCATAGGCTCCATAGTAGTTCTTTTAGGGGGTTCATATTTAGGATCCTATAAGGTAATCCCAAAAAGGAACTACTGTGGAGCCTATGGTAGGGCCACAAGGGTTTAGGGTTTTATAGGGTTTTATGAGGGGTCATGGTTGAGGGCTTCAGAGTTTTTGGGGCTTTAGGGCCTTTAGGGTTCAGGCGTTGGGGTATAGATTTTGGGGGTCGGCTTACACTTGACTGCGAAACTCAAGCAAACTCTCGGACCTCAAAAACCTCTGAAGCCCAACAAGTTTTAGGAACCTCGGTTCAGGGTGTAGGGGTATTGAGGGTTGAGGGTGCGATTCGGACATCTCAAACTCAAAACCCAGACATCTGCCGATTCAGGCTTTGAGGTTGGGCTACAGAACTTACCGGGCTCTTGCTACGGAACTTAGTTCATAAGTTGCCAGAACATGGAAGCCGCATGTGTTGCCCTGGATCCCTTTTTCTGGTGGTAACTTAAACCTAGTAGTAGAGTCGGGAGCATTTAACGTTGTTGGGGTACTATAATCCCGATCCCTAAACAGTCCCAACGTATTCCCATAGGTCCACAGTTTAACCTTTAGTTTTCCAGGATACTGGACAAGTCGGTACTCTCGTTCACAAGAACCCAGCTTACGCTTTTCCGGAACGCGTCAGGGGAACAACCTAAAAGAGAATATTAAGCACACAATATTATTTCGGTCATATAAAGCCAGGGACTATAAAACCCTAAACCCTCAACCCCCTAAACCCACATAACTTCAATTGTGGTTCTAAGCGGTGTGTAGGAAACATCGAAGCCCGAAGACGCTCTGCCAGGCAGAGAAGGAGCCGCCGAGGCCAGCAAACCTATTTACAGTGAACCCCAGAAAGTTGGAATGCTGGGATTCCCCTTGGTCTACGACCTAGAGTAGGCCCTTATTCCCTCTTTTAGGGTTCAGGATCCCTTTTTTTTCCGAGGTTACTCTTAGGCCTAGTAGTTTACCTGAAGGGCATGAAGATAATGATGATGTTCCAATTTCCTGGCCTTTACTCTAGGGTTTTGAGCTTGGAGGTTTCGGGTTTTGGTGTTTGGGGTTTAGGTGTATAGCTTTAGGGTTCAGGTTTCGGGGTCTGGGGTTCAGGCTTTGATTGAAAGTTTAGGTCCCCATCCTAGACGGAGGCGAGCCCAGAACCGAGATTTCATGTTACTTTGTGTAATTGCAGGGGCACGGGGAGTGCTTCTGCGAAGAGTGGGCAGGTGGGGCAGCCTATTCGGATGTTCTCAAAAAAACGGGGCAGGGCGGCAGTGCTTCCGCCCCCCGCGTCCCGCGGTTGCGACAAGGTCGGGGGTTTGCAATAACACTCGACGGGATGGTAAAAACATGTTTATTTTTTCTGGTTCGAAGGGCGCACAAGCTTAAAGACACCCGGGTCTACCAAAGCATGCTACGCGATCTGAAGAACAGAATGGGCCAGGACAACCTGACCTACCCCCCCACACACACACACACACACACGAACACGAAGCAGATAGACCTGCTGAGGTGCAGAAAAGTCAAAGACCTTCAATTCAGACCGATCAAGGCCCTATAGCCATAAACTTTCAATCCAGAAAGCCTAAACCCTGAACCCCAGGGCCTTCTTGGAAGCTGGATCTGCGACTGGGAAAAAGGAGCTTAAACAAAACAAAAACAGAACCCTCAAACTCTTAAATCCTAAGCCCACAGAGGATGGCCATGCTAGACCCAAAACTCTGAAACCCTAAACCCCGCAAACCTTATACCCTTAGCCCGTTAACCCTCAAAACTAGAACCCGCAAACCATCCTAAACCCGTAATTAACCCGTAAACCCTAACCTTTAAACCCTAAACTAAACCCTAAACCCTGACTTTTGGTTCTCGGCAAGGCGAAAAACCGGACTCTTCGAGGAGTTTAGCAGCTGCGCTCTCGGTCTGCTTGCCTTTTTGATTCAGTGTTCCCCTGGGTTCTTTTTAAGGGATCTTTTAGGGCTCCTTGAAGGATTCTGTAAGGGTTCCTTTAGGGCCGTTGAAGGGCTCCTTCAAGGGTTCCTTTATGGGAGCCCGTAGGTGTTTGGGCAGTCACCAGCGACTGAAGGGTAGGAGAGTGAACCGAAAGACTCCTTGGGTCCAGAACTGAGCTTGGGAGTACCATCATATAAAACATTACCTATACTATTTTTGGGTTCATTATTATACTTATAAGTATAGTATAATGGGCCCCCAAGACCCTCTTTTTTCCTGAAAGGAACCATTACGAAATAGACGTTTATACTTTTTCTCCCTGGTTACCTAAACGCCCAGGGGTGTAGGGGACTATATTTCCTTAAATAGGCCTTATTAGTCCTTATTATGGGCCTTAAGGCCCCCTACCCCCCCTCCCCCTACACCCCTAAGGCCCTAAGGATCCCTATGATATAAGGGATCACGTCCTGAACTGCTAAATGCATGCTTTTACTAGGCCTCCCAGTAGTCCCTTTTTGCGTTTTTGTAGTCCTAGGTTCGTTATATCGTAACCCAATACCAAAAAGGGAGCCCAATTTTACTCCTAGGTTACTGGGCATTCTAGTGTATCTTCTCAGGATATCTCTCTGCGCCCTTGTTGTTCGCAGGGTTTGGGGCTTGGCGGTTTTATCTCTCTCGTCGTTCACTCCCTTTGCTGCTGCGCAAAGTAGCCCAGGACGTGTGCGGCCAGGAGAGCACCTGCAAGGCTTGGACCCGTCAAACACCGTAGCTGTGCGAGGGTCTCCCATCTTTTCGGCTTCTGGCTTCGTAGCATGCACGGCTTAGGGTTTGATTAGGGTGCTCTGATGTTCCTCGTGTCGCTTGTCGATTCCGTTCCTCCCTGTCAGAAACGCCGCCGCCTCTGACGAACCTCAAAGAGGCAATGCTCAGGAGGCACCGCTCTGCTTTGCCAGATTAAAACCGTTAATGTTAACTGTTTGGCCAACTTTGCCATAAGGCCATAAGGTTCCTTGATCAAAGTCATGTACGCGATACTACACATCAAAGCAGTGTTCGATTTATTCAGGCCGTTGTATTAACTATGATCCCAGGAGCGCAGAGTGCACCACAGGTTCTATGAGGACTGAAGACTGAAAGAGACACCGGCACAAGCACGCTGTGACGACCTTGTCTGCTGCTACTCATAACTGGGCGTTGGAGTACCATAGTTTAACACTTTTTTCTGAAAGGAACCATTATGAAATAAAAGTGTATACTGTTTTCTCCCTGGATAATTAAAAGCCCAGATAATGCCAACTTGCCAGCGAGGTTCACAAAACCACCAGCCACAGCTTGAAAGTGTTTGGGAGGGGTCCTCATCCCAAGGCCGTGGTTATGCTTCCGAGACACAGCTTATCATTTCGTTCTGAAATCTCTTGAGATGGTCTTACTGCTCTTGATTTTGTTGCCATGACCACTCAGCCAGAAGTCCGATCGGCATACCTCTTTTGCAACATACCTGAAATCAAGAGCGGGTGTTCCCTGGAGTCCCTTCATGCAGCATTCCATAAACTACTATTTGCTTAAGAAACCACCCCAAAAAATAAAATAATAATCCCTATATTACCCCCATAAGGAATATATTTTTTATTTTTTTGGGGTTCTTAAACAAATAGTAGTAAAAGCTTGCGAGTATTCCACTCTTTGGGAGGTATGCAGCATCCGCCGCCGACGACTCAGGGGGTCATGTTGGCAGAGACGTGGCTGAGTCTTGCACTCACCCAAGCTGCCGTTTGCTGACCCCTGTCATGATCCGAACTGCCAGCTTCTCGACCTGCTGGACACGGAGGGAATATAGTAGAAGCCAGAAAGTTGGAACATTAGTATCCTCATGCCCGGCCATGCCCTTAAGGTAAAGTATAAGGGATCGTAGCACTCATCCTTCTAGACCCGTGTTCCAACTCTCTGGGATGCGCTAAAGATGTACCAACGGGGAGCCGGAGCCACCTGCTCCGTAGCCTCAACGACCTGATTTCCCCACGCTGAAAGAATTCTCTAATGTAGGGGCCTTAATATTTGAAATAGGGTTTGGGGTGTAAAAAAAGCGGAATTATAACAAGGAACGCCCAAAACCCTATTCTAATTATTAAGGCCCCTACATGAAGCACTGTACGTCTGCTCTGCTGTCCTCACACCAGCACCCTTCAGGCCCTCCCGGATGATCTGCAGCGTACAACCCTGCCGTTCATCATAGGGACCCTGAGGGGGGGTGGAGGGGGGTAGGAAACTATACTTCCCTGAATAGGCCTTATTACTTATTAAATCATTATTATGGGCATTAAGGCCCCCTACCCCCCTCCCCCCGTCCCCCTAGCCCCCCTAATTAGGGGGTCCCCGATGACTTCAGCACCTTGTACTCGCCGCTGAGGCTGTCATGGCGAGAACCAAGGGATTTGCTTCACTGAAGCAGGTGCTTCCGGTTGATGAGATACATCCTGCATGACCCATAATAAGGAATATGCCATCATTCCCATAGTTTGGGGTCATTAAGGTAGTGCCGGATTTAGATCATCAACCGTTCGGGGTGTTTAAGGGTCCTCTTTGAAGGATCCTTAAGGTTTAAAGATGAGTGTTTCTGGGATTTTCGGGAAACTCTTCCTGAGTTTGTGTCCTTAAGGAATGCCTTGTTCATTCCGTTCGTCATAATATAAACCCTGCGTTGTTGGTAGTGGGGGTGGTGGTGGTGGTGCTGTGGGTGTCTAACTAGGGCCTTATAGCTTCAAGGTTTAGGGGTTCTCACTACATAGCGGTTTAGACCCTAAGCCCCTCAACCCTAAACCCTAAAACCCCTAAAACCCTAATCCCCTCAACCCTAAACCCCTAAACCCCCAAACCCTAAGCCCCAAAACCCCTAAACCCCTAAAAAACCCCTAAACCTTAGGGTTTCGGCCGCTGGGGTTTCAGGCTTTCAGGACTGAAGGCATGGGTTCTACTGCAGAGGGCAAGTGCAGGTTGAAGAGGCCAGTAGGCGAAGGCAAAGTTGGGGTTGGGGGTTTACTTGGAGGTTCAAGGGTAGTTATAAGTAGGTGTAGAAGTCCCTAATATGGGTTATAAGTATAGATACCCTACTTGTAACCTACTTATAACTACCCATGAACCTCCAAGTAGGGATTGTAACTGACAAAATCCACGCTTGTTTTTCTTCTCAGTATTTGGGCTCGGGGGACATTGATGTTGCTGTCTGGCTTCTACTGCAGAATTCTTTGTTCACATGTGTTGGTCTTAACCAAACGGGGGGTGTACGAAGCCATGTGGTAAAATAGCCCTCAAGATTAGAAAGATTCAACAAAAGCCTGAGTATTTACCAAGAAGCTGCTTAGGGCTCCTCAAAACAATTATACCACGAGACACACCAAAATTCTATGCAAATGAGTTACACCCACGCAACTCGTTTAGAAGCCCGTTAAACTCAAAAGGAACTCTTTTGACCCTATCCTAATGTCTAAGGCCCCGTTATCCCCACCCGACCCACCCTTCCCCAACCGCCTTTGAGCATTTTGGGCCAAAGCCGTAAACCTTAAACCCTACTTGGAGGTTCATGGGTAGTTATAAGTGGGGTTCTGCGTCCCCTAAGGTGGCTTATAAGTATACTTACCTTACTTATAACCCTACTTCTAACTACCCTAAACCCTAATCCCTAAGCCCTGTAACCCTATAGGTCCGTTGAAAGGAACCAAAAACCCTCATAACCCTACTTATACCTACCCACGAACCTCCAAGTACCGCAGCGGTCCTTGAGCGTTTTGGGCCAGGTCAGACCCCTGGCTGCTAGGCAAGCAGCCAAGGCTCATGCCAGGCTCGACTTGAGGGGGTAGAGATAGGTTTTAAGGCATTGGGTTTGCTTTGGGGCTTTGGGTTTTGCTCTAAGGCCTTTGGGTTTGATTTTAAGGCTTCGGGTTTTGTTTTGTGATGTTTGGGATCGTTTTAGGGAACCCGCATCGTAGACGGACTATCGGTTTGAAAGGGTCACACCCTACGGGACAAGCCAGAAAGTTGGAACATCATTATCCTCATGCCCTTGAGATAAAGCCCCCAAACCCTGGAACCTGAAACCCCTTATTGAACCCTTTACAGGAGCCCCCCCAACCCCAAAACCCGATAGTCCTAAATCCATCTCCCAACTTTCTGGGGTTCACTGTCTCAGATCCTTATATTTTAGTAGGACTCGGAAAGTTCAACCTTTGATTTCAGCAACTAATTATTGACACTATTCTGGTGGTTCCTTTTGCTTATGGTATAGTGCACCCCAAAGCCCTATTCTACGTATATTAACCCTAAACATAGAAAAGAGAAGCTTATGGGTTTATATAGGACTTCGATGTGTGTTTTTTCCGGGTCTAGGGCCTTTTTCCTGCCAGGCCCTTTCTAGAAGCCGTGGCACCGGAGGAGGCGGGCCTTGTCTGAAAGATGATTCAGGGGGTAGGGTTTAGGGTTTAGGGTTTAGGGGTTTAGGGTTTAGGGTTTAGGGGTTCAGGGGATTAGGGTTTAGGGTTTAGGGTTTAGGGTTTAGGGTTCAGGCCGGAACCGTTCATGGGTAGAACTGCGTTCCCTATCGGGTTTTGGGTATACTTTACTATACTTATAATAAGGAACCCCAAAATAGTACTGAGTGTGTTTAATTTAAGCCCCTACATGAAGCCGTTCGGGGTCCCAGGTTTAACTGCTGGGGCCCTAGGTACGGACGACCGCGGTAGATCTATTCTGGCGGCAGCCTTGAATCCTGGATTTGTGGCTGGAATCGAAGCAGAGGTTTCGAAAAGTTCCCACCGCACCTCCTGAACGGCCTAAGGCCCCTCAGGCCTTAAGCTGGCAACCCGAAACCCTCAGCGCTAAACCAGCCTAAACCCTACAAGCAGACTAACTCCCTGAACAATATATCAAAGAGCAGACTAAACCCTTCAGATGAAAAATAGTGAAGCCATATCCCTGAAAACTCGTGAATACATTGCACCCAGGACTTCAGCTGTAACCCGGAGTAAGCCTTGACTGTATCGTTTCAAAAAACCACTCGAAATCAGACTACACCAAGACGCACAAGCCAATTAATTAAACAAACAGACCACGAAGTATAACCGTACACCAACGCCAACAAAAAGTCCTAAGAAGTTTGAAAGTAGTTCTACAAACCTAATGATCAGCAGAAGCCCTGCAAAGCCCTGGCAAGAAATGCTTGGAGGTTCATGGGTAGTTATAAGTAGGGTTATAGGTAGGGTAACTATACTTACAACCCATATTAGGGGACTTACAAGCCGATAAATTACCAATTACTACCCATGAACCTCCAAGTGCCGTAAGCCCTGAACAGGTTGCGGAAGATGCCTGCCCACTTTGCAAGCGGCACCTGAGGCAGGTCTTGGCAGGGTCTAAAACCCTCGACTCTAACACCCAAAACCCACAAGCCTCACTCCCGTACCATACTTGGAGGGTCGGGGGACTTAGTAACTGGCTATTTTAGGGGCTTTTTAGTACCATAACCCCAAATAGGGTCTCTTTTAGCGTACTTATAAGTCTACTTACTACCTACTTACTAAGTCCCCCCTCCAAGTAGTAGGCCCCAAACTCTGAATCCAAATCCCCGAATCCAAAACCTCAAAATCCAAGATCTTACACCCTTCGCCTTGGGAGTTCATCAGGGTTAGGGTTTAGAGTTTAGGGTTTAGGGTTTAGGGTTTAGGGTTTAGGGTTTAGGGTTTAGGAAGTGTTTAAAGTGAACCCCAGAAAGTTGGAACATGGATTTAGGAGGATTAGTGCTAGGATCCCTTATACTTTACTTTAAGGGCATGAGGATAATGATGTTCCAACTTTCTGGCTTCTACTGTAAGGTTTAGGGCCTAGGGTTGTAAGCTTCCTCGTTTTGGTTTAAGTTGGCAGATTGGGAGGCTCAGAGATTGGGCATGAGAGGGATTGAGTGTTGCTTGTGGTGGTGTCGGTCCCTGAGAAATCCAGAAGTCGTTGTAATAAGGCTTCTGCCATGCAGGGTCTGTGTTAGGGTACCATATGCCATATTCATTGGACCTCGCATGTAGATCCCTGCTGAAGGAATCCCCTCTCCTCACAAGTAAACCCTAAACCCTAAAGCCATAAACTCAGAAGAGTAGATTCACGGCAGTAGCGCACTATGTTTGAAGCTGTCACCATGACATGCGTTCATTGCAAGGGTTCGGAACCCTAAAATCTAAGCCCTAAACCCTAGGCTCCATAGTAGTTCCTTTTTGGGATTACCTTATAGGAGCCTAAATATGAGCCACAAAAGGAACTACAATGGAGCCTATGGGTAAACCTGAAACCATGAGTCGAGCCCTCCACCCAAAGAGCCGGCAAGAGAAAACTGATACTGCCAGAAGCATATGCCCGAGGATCCATTTCTACTACCGTTATGGATTTGACAAAACATCACACCTATGATGTACTATGATGGTTTGGGGGACCTCATCCGCAAATAGTAGTATGTATGTATGTATGTATGTATGTATATACACATACATGGACCCCCTAGGGATTTCAACCCTCACACCCGAGTCCCTAAACTCTGCTTAGCAATGAGCCCTAAGCCCTATTCCCAGTCTTGTTTGGAAGGCAGAAGGACACCGGCGTCATCCGGTCGGGGACTCGATGTTGTAATCCCGAACCCCGATATAGGGTCTGAGGATTTAGGTTACACGTTGGGTGTACTTCTTAGTGATGCCTTTATCGACACGAAAGGAGGCATGATTACTCTTTGTTCCGACAACCACAAGTAGTTTAAGTTACCCTAACAGGGGTCTTGTACGGAGTTACAGGGCTTCCATGAGGGTTCAATGGTTTTAAAGTTTTAAACAACATGTGTTCCATCTTCAATTGAGGTCCTGAACAAGAACCTATTTTGGCGTAAACTTCAGGGGCATCGGGGTTCAGGATTTCCCGGTTGAGGCCGCAGGATTTGTTCTGGAATCTAGAGTGAGTTGGCATTCAGGGCTAAGGGTTAAGGGTCGCTAGGATTGAGGATTGCGAGTGTTGGTGTTCCGAGTTAGAGGCGCGTTTCGTGGTACTCAAGAAGACTTTCGAAATGAATTATGTGGTCGTTCACAAGTATAGTCGGACCCTGATTCTATGCCCTGCAGTCAAGAGATGCCAAGCTGTGCCAACGTCCCACATAAAAAAGACAAACAACACCAACAACTCTCTAAAACCCACAGGGTCCACCACACAAAAAAGAAACACGCACGCACACACACACACCGCCCGAATACACCTCATAAAACAAAACTTAAAAGTACCCAGCCTTAAGCTCTGTGGCTCTATGCCAGAATATGCATCAAGCCCTAAACCCGGTAGAATCCTTGAGCATTACGGAACAGCTTCCTTACCAGCACCTGAATTTCTGCTAGAACCACAAAATATAGAGGCCTTACTTAATTACCTATACTATTTTGGGTGGGTTCCTAATGATAGCTACAGTATAATGTACCCCAAAACCCTCATTCTAATTACTAAGGCCCCTACCTATACTAAAACCTTATAGTACTCGTTTAGCATTCCTTAGAGGAGCCCTTTAAAGGAACCACAAAACCCTATTCTAATGACTCAGGCGCCTGCATTATATAGATCCCTTATAGTAGCCCTTCTAGACCTTTTCTAATTATGTAGGCTCCCTATGGAGCTGTCAGGCTACGGTCCTGTGGGCACGAAGTGCACGGGGACTGCTTCAATGCCGCTGCCTTAGACAAGCCCTAAACCCTAAAGCCCAAAGTTTAGGGTTTAGGGTTTAGGCCTTAAGCCCTAAAGCCTGGGCCCTAAGCCCTAAAACCCAGGGTTTAGGGTTTAGGCCCTAAACCCTAGAAGCCTAAAGCCCCCAAATTCCTGGACCTAGAGTATAGACTATTATAGACCCTAAGCCCTAGAAGCCTAAAGCCCTCAAATTCCTGGACCTATAGACTATAGACCCTAATGCCCGAAACCCGAAACCGAAAACTCCTCGACCTAGAGACCCAAAAGCCCTACAGGGAACTCCAGAAAGTTGGAGTTTAGGGTTTAGGGTGTTTAGGGTTTAGGGTGTTTAGGGCTTAGGGTGTTTAAGGTTTAGGGTTTAGGGTGTTTAGGGTTTAGGGTGTAGGGTTTAGGGTTTAGGGTTGGAATATGGTTTCATTACCATAGAAGGGTTCGGATAATCATATTCCAACTTTCTGGCTTTTACCTTAAACCCTAAAAGCCTGAAGCCTTACAGAAACCTGGACATACAAGCCCTAATCGCCGAAACCTATAATCCTAAAGCCCTGAAAGACCTAAGCTCTAAAGCAGTATTCGGAGTTTAGCACAGTGCGTGTCGAAGGGTCTTTACTTGGAGGTTCATGGGTAGTTATAAGTCGAGTTGTGAGCCCTCTAATAGAATGTAAGTATAGTTACCATACTTATATCCCTGCATAGTACTACCCATGAACATCCAAGTAAGGTTCAAGGTTTTGGGGCCTGGGGTGCAAGGTTTGGGTTTCATGGTTTAGGGTCCTGTTTAGGGCTTAGCGTATAGAATATTGATGGCAAATGTTGATTCAAGCACAGCACTTTGGGGTGGCCGGAGCCCAAGAGACGCACCTTCTAACCCTTGACTTTCTTAGGCCTTGGCAAAACCCCCTAAACCCTAAACCCTAAACCCTAAACCCTAAACCCTAAACCGTAACCACCTTTCCTATTAACACAGTACACCCTTACCCTAAAGATCCCAACCCTCAGCACCCTGAGCCCCAAACACGGTGCCCTAAGCCCGAAACAGCTAAAATCCTATGCCCTAAACCCTAAACTGAAGAGCTAAAGCCCTAAAAATGAGCTCCGCCACCTGTCAGGACCTGATCAGTGGCACCGACCGTTTCCGTGGATTCTCTCGGACAGCGGGCTGAAACGGTTTGTGGATTTCGCGCCTAAGGGTGTATACTGGGTTTACGGTTTAGGGATTTAAGGGTTTACGGTAATAGCAATTGTAGGGTTCGGTGTGGTGTTTAGGGTTCAGGGAGTTTCATGCTCACAGGGTTTAGGGTTCAGAGCATATTTGGTTGCAGAGCCAAAACAATAACAACGATCTGCAATCGTGGGTATTGGTGGTTCTACGTTCTAGTGAGCTGTTTTCTTCCCAGGTTTTCCGGTATACTCAGTCTGACCACTGTGTTTGATATAAGCAGTCGGCAGAGCTTCAACGGCAAGGGTTCAGAGACAACACCAGCTTAATTAAGGAGTATACTTTACCTTATATCGGGATCACTCGATTGCTTTACGGTGGGGCTGGGAGTCGCGGGAGACAGGGTATCTTCGGGCTATGTGTAGGTTAGAACTGACATTTATGGCTATCCAACACGGAATGATCGTGGTGCTCTTGTTACTCCTTGTAGCGTAGCAGCCGGCAGCGATGGTGCCACAGCACAAGAGCACTGGTAGCACACGTTTCACCTCAGACATACACCCCAAATGCCAGGACCCTCTAAGACAACAGGAAACTTGAAGCCAGTTATACTGAATACTTAATAAAGTCACAAGGCCTTTCTGAAACGTGGCAAAACCCTTCAGAGCCGTCTTCTACTTGCTAATCTGTCAGCGGAAAGCAGCGGTGTGGTGAGCGTGAGTAGCACTACTACCACCACTTTGCGGGCAGACTCTCCATTTCACTCTTTGCCCAGAGAGCCCAATACCCCTTTATTCAGGAATATACCTTAAATTATTGGGCTGCATACTATAATCATTATTATATTATTATTGTTATTATTATTATCATTATTAGTATTATTCAAGCTGTATTCCTTTATTAAGGGATATTGGGCTCTCTGGGTTCAGAGATCACGCAGCCGGTCTGCACTGACTCGCAGCCAGAACAAGAGCACCAGGCAATGTCGGCCTCGACGCTGCAGCCGTCGTGCCAGGGAACATCATAGGGACCCTTAGGGGGTAAGGGGGACGGGGGGTAGGGTAACATACTTCCTCAAACAGCTCAGATCATAGGGACCTTAGGGGTAGTTAGAAATGATTTTTAATTTTTTTGGTGATTGTAATCCCTGCGGGACCGCTCACAACCCCCAAGAAACCGCTAAAATTAGGGACCCTTACTTGAAGGCTCATGGGACTTAGTAAGTAAGGTTATAAGTAGGTTACAATTAGGATAACCCCACTTAGGGGACTTATAACCCTTAGGGGTACTTAGAAATAATTTGTAATTTTTGGTTACTATAATCCCTAAGAAACAGCTAAAACTATGATTTTTGCTAGGGTTCTAGGTTCAGTATAGGCACCCTTGGGGTGGTAAGGGGGAGGGGGGGTAGGGTACTATACTTCCTCAAACAAGCCTTATTCGCTCCGTCTTATGGGCATAAAGGCCCCCTACGGCCCCTCCCCCTAAGGGTCCCCATGAGAACACGAAAATCCAAAGTCCTAACATCCTATGTTAGGCTCGAAATCCCGAGACCCTAAAACCGTCAGGTGAGGCGGAACAAAAAGCAAAGAAGAATCGCACTCGCAGCGGGTAAACCTCTAAAGGAGCCCCAAAGCTAGAAATTCTGAAGTCCGAAACCCATACGCCCGACCACCACAAACGCTACCTGAACACCCGATGGCCGTCATCTGCGCCGCATTGTCCGTTAAACCCTAAATCCTGAACCCAAAATCCTAAACCCTAGGCCCTAGGGCCTGAATCCCGAACCTGGAATCCCTACGTCCTAGACCCTACATCCAAGACACCAAAACCAGTAGCTTGGACTTCATGCGAGAGGAAAGAGCCCTTAAACAACAAAAGCAATCCTATACCCTAAACCCTAAATCCTGAACCCTCAGCCTTCAATCCTAAACCCTACATCCTAAACAATCCTAAGCCCTAAACAAACCCCTGAAAAAAAAAAGCCTTAACTCCTAAACCCTACATCCTGAACAATAAACCCTAAAACCGGAGGACGGCTTGCCCCAAATGTGGCGAGCTATGGTCCGAGCCAAGCACTTAGAGCCTTCGTCGTGGGAGTAGGGTTTTGGGCTTAGGGGCTTGGGTTTAGGGGTTTAGGGGCTTAGGGTTTAGGGGTTAGGGGCTTGGGGGTTTAGGGTTCTAGGGTTCAAGGGCTTGGGGGTTTAGGGCTTAGGGAGTATATGGTTTAGGGGTTTGGGGGTTTAGGGTTTCGTGTTTAGGGGTAGCCTTTAAGGGACCCACATGGGTTACTTTCAAGGTGCTATACGGGTTTAGGGGTTTAGGGTGACAGCGCCGACGACGACTACTATTGTGACGATGTGAACAAAAACGCAACAAGAAGATAGTAGGAGCAACAACAAGAATAGCAAGTGCTACGCTAGTTCCTAACAGTGCGCCCCTCTGCTCCACACAGACCCACACCAATTCTTCACACTGTGTAATGTCAATGATACGCAAGAGCTCAGGGATTGAGGCTGAAGCTAGGTTTCGAGGCTTGGATTCAAAGTTTCGGGTGGTCCTGGTTTTCGATTTCGGAGAACGATCTTTGGAGTCGCAGGAAATGGCCATAAACTGCCAGACCTTCCACCCGAAGGTCGAGATCCCATTCCCCCCCAAAAAAAACGAAAGGCGTGCCGGGCGAAAGCAGCCGGTGCTACCTGAACTTGTGAAAGTCGACGAATAGTAGTGGGTGTTTTTCGGCGGAAAATTGCCGAGCATCCATCGTTGTAGGGTGCGACAAAGCGCCAATTTCTCCAGGTTCCAAAGCGAACTCCGGAAAGGGTTAACACTGTTAAATACATCAAAACAACTAGCACAGTAGTGCCCATGCACCAACAGCACAGCGAATCAGCAACGACAAACTTGACGGCCCGGTGCAGTGGCAGAAGCCCTTAAGTATCGTTACCCTACTCATAAGCCCACTTACAACTATCCTAAACCCAAAACCCTAATCCCTAAACCCTATAGATCCCTTAAAACACACTAGCTGCAACGACTGCTTCCAAGAAGGATGGCAGCCAGCGCGAAATGGAGCTTTGCAGTTCTACTAAAGGCAGTACGGTTGATCTATAAGGATACCTTTAAGGGGTTCCTTTAAGGGATCTATAGGGTTTTAGGGTTTAGGGTTTAGATGGATGGTAAACATCTTACATGACCCATAATAAGGAACAAATACACCATAATTCCCATAGTCTAGGGTCGTGAAGGTACTGCAGGATTACTATCATCAACCGTAGCACTGGTGATGTGCAAGAGGGCTCGCAAAAGGGGATGAGCAGCAGAGCTGGCAGCTCTTCTTGGCATCGAAAGAGTGTAAGACAGGTTTCCCGTAAAGTCCAGCTTGAGTCTAGATTTCTTGTTAAAGGATTTAGTTCAAGTGACCATAATTGGGATCTATAGTAACTAAATGGAAATGATATTGTTTCTTTATCATAGCAACTGAAATTAAATCTCTTACCCTAAGACTCCAAATAGCCCAGAGTAGGTAGTAGTTATAGACTTTAGACCCCAAAGTAGGTACTGTTTGTATACTTGGAGTCTTAGGGTTAAGACGACTTCAGGGTTCTATAGGGTTGAGAGATCAGGGTATAGGGCAGGTGTAAGAAGGGTCATGAGTGAATAACCGTACTCACAACCTAGGGTTATAAGCGAGGTTATGCTATATAACTAGGACAAGTATAGGTGAGGTTATTAGGATAGGCCTGCTTCGGGCTTACGCAGCCCCATAGTATGGATGAAGGGCTTCTTAGAAGCCACGTCCTCACCCGTGGCCAGAAAAGACACATGGGTAGCTCTCTAAATCAGAGTCCGTGCTTTACGCCACCATAATAGTACGGAAGTATTTTAAGAACGGACCGTACACGTGACCTTAATTCCAGAGACCTACCCGCACGCCGCCTGCTGGTACTGTTGGATCCTACATTGGCTCGAAGGGTGAAGCCGCAGTTGTCTTAAGCAGACGTCGAAGGTTTACATCCCCGAGCACCCAGACTCTTCTCATCAAGGCCCCTAACCCTAAGCTACAGCTCAGGAACCCGACTCTACTTCTGAAGGCCCCTATATTAGCCCAGGGCCTTGAGTTGAAACACCAGCTAAGCCTGAGGTTGAACTTGGCGCACCTCTCAATCTCAGTCACCCCCGTACCACTCCTTGCCCTCTTGCTTTTGGGGTCCCCCTGCACATTTTTCTCTTTTCATGCATAGACGCTCTCGAGAGCCTTAAAGCCTTGACCCTGAACCCTAAAACCCTCACTTAAACAAAAATCCCAAAGCTCTAAATGCACTGTAAAGTCCCAAACCCTGAACCCTTGATCCAAAGCCCTTTAGACCTTTGCTAGCAAGAGGTGATAATCATAGCACCCGTCTGAGGAACTCGAGGCCTTCAGATTTACTATTGGGGCCTTACTACATACCTATACTATGTGGGTGGTTCCTTATTATGATGATAGTATAAAGGGCCCCAAAACCCTATTATTGAGGCCCCTATATTACTAGTTTGATTTTTGTAGTGTTTTTGGTTGTAACACGTTCAGGGCTCTAGGGCTTTAGGGTATAGGCTTAGGGTTTCAGGGTTTAAGGATTTGGACCGAGCAATGCAAACAAGTGACGACGAGCCGGGCGATTTGGAGGAGGTGCAATGTCGGTATATCCACTGGTTTAGGGTTTTTGACTTTAGGGATTTAGAGTTGAAGGTTATTCAGCGCTTACAGTTTAGGATGTACTTGAAGACCCTAAACGCTAAACCCCATATAGATCCCTCTAAGGAACCCCTATAGATCCCTTTAAGGAGCCCTTCAAGAACCCCTACTAAGTCCCATGATCCTCTAAGTAGACCCTAAACCCTAAACCCCATAGATGCCTTTAAGGAACCCCTATAGATCCCTTTAAGGAGCTTACAGTTTAGGATGTAGGGTGTTTGGGTGGGGGTTAGATACCGTAGCCTACAAGATCCTGTTGAGTTTCGGGTCCATGCTTCGGAGTTTAAGGGTTCCCCGGGAGCCTACGATGACTATTTCTTTAGTAGTTGAATAATATTCATAATATAGATATAGTAGGACCTTAATACTAGCCCTATTATAGACTCTTACTGTATGGGGGCCGTACCTAAACTATCCCAGTATGAAGAAATGCGCCTGACATGATGGCCGGTCGGAGGAGCTTGCTCAATTACCGGGGTGCTGGGCTCTGCGGGTAGAGTTGGCTTGCGGGTACAAAGAAGATCCAGTCGTATATAGCTGTGATATGACGACTCCATCTTCAGAGTTCAAACCGTATACGTAAGCTTTAGTAAGGGCTGTCGCAATGAGACCGTGAGTAACAGAATTTCTCGGGACTTTCCGTTGGAGGGCTTCTATCTTTTGCCGTCAATCTTAAGCAAACCCAATAAAACCTCTTTGAATCATTTTTAATCCTCGTAGAGCCCCAGAGGCCAGAAAACCCGTTCAACTTGATAAAGCTGGAAAAGCAAGCACCACAATAGGGCTGGGCAGGTATGGTTTAGGCTTGACTTGAAAGTGTTCCGGGGTCCTGCCCGTAGGACGCAGTTTAGGGTCTTTGGGTTTAGGAGTTCAGGGTTTAGGGGTTTAGCGGTTCAAGATTTCGGTTTACTGTTGTGCGTGTTTGCAGAGTGTTACATAGAAGCTTCAACTACCAGCGTTTCACCCGCATTCGAACAAGGCATAACATGTAACGTCAGCTCCCGGAGCATCTCCAGAGCCCTGATATATGGGCCTAGATAAATACCAATAGTATGTTGGGGGCTCCTATAATTATAGACAAAAGTTAAAATGGGTGATTATTACGGCCCCTATATTAAGCCCGTCTGCGAATCTGTGACCGTCGCACGGTGAGTACTTAATCACTGAGAGTCCTGGAGCCTAACTGTTGCACACTCTTTAGACTCTGCCTGAAGGCTCAATCGTACAAATGCTGACGCAGACGTGCATACTTAGTCGTACATCTCTGCAAAACATTTGAAAATATATGTGTGTATATTCATGTATGTATAAATGCTCTCTCTGGTGTCAACGCGCAAAGCCCTGAAACGTCAACCCTACAATCCCAGCAGGTTTGGGCTTGCCTCACTCGCAGCGACCTCGATGCGGACCTGCGCGAATGCGACGATGCGGTTGCAGATGCGGGCAACAGTGCGGCATGGTGGCAAGGAGACGCACAAGACAGAGTCCCAAGCCTATTCTGGATTCTTGTTGAAGAATTTAGGTTAAATGAACATAATATGGGTCTATAGTAATTCATGTGGTTTCTGCATTATGGCAACTTAAAAAATCCTCAACAAGAACTCAGTATTCTACAACAGCAAGACCAGCTAGTGGTTTTGTCCCTATATAGTGATATTGTAATGTACCACAAACACCCCTGCCTAAAATTAAACCCTAAAGCACCCTGAACCCTAAGACACCCTCCACCTAAACCGGGATAGAGATATATACGGCCAGTCCCACTTAAAGGACTCGGGGACCTGGCACATAGGCTTGCAATTTGGGTAACGAATCAGGCTCATCTAAGCCCCAACCCAAAACCCAAAACATCTATAACCTAAGCCCGTAAGCCTTAAAGCCAAGCAAAAAAACCTAAGCCGTTAAACGCTAAAACGCCTCAACCCTAAACCAACAAGCCATAAGCCCCTAAACTCTGAACGCCTAAACCCTAGTAGCAGCAGCAGCCGCAGCAGCAGCAGCAGCAGCAAACCCTCCAAGAATAGCCAAGAGCCAGCTTTAGGTGGCCCTTGTAACTTTAGTACTCGTACAGCAGCCTGTCTAGCACGCATAAGGTACGGTCTTAGAACCCTAAAGTGCCCTTACAAGACCCTTAAGCTAACCTTAAGCTAATGTCTTAGTGCCCTTATTAGTACCCTTATAGGAACCTTGAAGGAACCTTTATGGTAGCCCCGCTGTAGGATCGCTTTAAAGGGACCCCGATGGATTCCCCTTAAAGAACCTCTTAAAGAAATCCCCAGAAGAGACGAAGGCCCGACCTCAAACGGAACCCCCCCCGGAGAAGAACCTCAAAACCCAAGGGGGGGGGGTGAGAATGCTTCGGGTTTGGGGTTTCCGGGTTTAGGGTTTAGGGCCGTTTCCGGGGAACCCATATGGGTCCCTCTTAAGGAACCTCTTCACGGGACCTGCAGAGAAGACCCTTAAAGCCAAAAAGGGAGCCCCTAAAGCAAAACCCTTAACCCCTAAACCCTAAAGCCCTTATTCACCCTAAACCCTGAACCCTCAAAAGCAAGCCCTTGCTTGGAGGGTCGGGGGACTTAGTAAGTAGATCTTTCATAGAGTTATAAGGATCATAACCCCAATTAGGAGCCCTTTTAGGGCACTTATAACTCTACTTACTACCTACTTACTAAGTCCCCCGACCGTCCAAGTAACCCTATACCCGTATAGAATCCCTACGGAACCCTTTAAAGGGACCCTTAAAAAGGAGCCCTTAAAAGCAGCCCTTTAAGGGAACCCCTTGACCGAGCGAGGCCTCGGGACGTTCGGCGGAGGATCTCCGCGGGACCTTGGCCGGCGAGGCCTTCGCCGGCGAGGCGATCGAGCTCTGGTCGCCTCAGCCTGGGAATCGACTTAGGGTGGGTTTAAGGGTTTTAGGAGGGTTTAGGGTTTAGGGTGGGTTTAGGGTGATTGGGGTGTACAAGGGTTTAGACTTTAGGTTTCGGGTT